CAGGATGGGGTGGACCTGGCAGAATTAATGTCACACAGGACGTACTCCGTCTTGCGTCGATCGGAGCTTTACATTGATTAGGTCTGTGCCACGAACCGCCCCGGCCACGACCTCGACGTCCGGGATGGCGCTTCGGATGACCAGCCATCATTGCCTGTTTCAGTGACCGTTGGTTCTGCCATTGGACTTGTGTGTGGAGCGGGAAGCCCCCGTCATATATTCAATTCCATGGTTGTTTACGCGCCCGCATCACCAAGGGGGCCCGTACTACGCGGCCAGCGGCCAACAATCCATGCCATGGCCTAATCCATCGTGTTGTCGATGGCAAGTTGATGGATTCATGGAATAGGGTGATCCAATGGCTCGGGTGAGCTCCTCGAAAGACCCAGTTTCTATCTTAGCTCTCAATGGTATATCAACTCGACGTTGCCTTGCTCTGTCGATCCGTTCTCTCTTGTTGTTTCATTCCCACAGTCACTCATTCTTTCATTCGTTCAACTCTTTTCTACACTTTTTTTCCAAGATGTTCGCCAAGTCCTTCCTTTTGGCCGCTGCGGCCCTTGCCCAGCAGGCTGCTGCCGTCTCCGTCACCGGTACCCCCGAGGGTTTCGCCTCTGGCGTCACCGGTGGAGGCTCTGCTACTGCCGTCACCCCCACCACCAACGACGAGCTGGTCTCGTACCTCGGCGACTCGTCCGCCCGTGTCATCGTCCTGACCAAGACCTTCGACTTCACCGATGAGGATGGCAGTGCCACCGAGACTGGCTGCGCTCCCTGGGGAACCGCTTCCGCCTGCCAGGTCGCCATCAACAAGGACTCGTGGTGCGACAACTACCAGTCCAGCGCCCCCTCCGTTTCTGTGACCTACAACAAGGCCGGTCTTAACCCCATCAAGGTCGCCTCCAACAAGTCCATCATCGGATCCGGCTCCAAGGGTGTCATTGTCGGCAAGGGTCTGAGAATCGCCGGTGCCGAGAACGTCATCATCCAGAACATCAAGATTGAGAACATCAACCCCAAGTACGTCTGGGGTGGTGATGCCATCACTCTCGACACCACCGACAACGTCTGGATCGACCACGTCACCGTAAGTGCTCACTACTCTCGCATCTTACCATGTTGAACATCGCTAACAAGCCCTCTAGACCTCCAAGATTGGCCGCCAGCACCTTGTTCTCGGCACCTCTGCCTCCGGCAAGGTGACCGTCTCCAACTGCGAGTTTGATGGCCAGAGCGACTACTCCGCCACCTGCGACGGCTACCACTACTGGGTCAACTACTTCGCCGGCTCCAGCGACACCATCACCTACATGAACAACTACATCCACCACTTCTCTGGTAAGTCAACAAGACAGCAAGATCGCATCAGCGAAAGGGATAAGAAGACTAACTCACAATTCTAGGCCGTGCCCCCAAGGTCAACGGAAACTCTTTCGTCCACGCCCTGAACAACTACTGGTCCGAGTCCACCGGCCACGGCTTCGAGGTCACCTCCGGCGGATACGTCCTCGCTGAGGGCAACGTCTTCAGCAACGTCGAGACCGTCATTGAGGCCGGCGGCGACGGTGCCACCCTCGCCATCACCTCCTCCAACGCTGCCGACTGCTCCTCCAAGATGGGCCGCTCTTGCCAGGCCAACAGCTTCTCCAGCTCCGGTACCTTCACTGGCACCGACACCAGCGTCCTCAACAAGTTTGGCAGCGCCGATATCCCCGATGCCGTCGCCGCCTCTTCCGTCTCCAGCAGCAGCGCTGGCTACGGCAAGATCTAAGTCGTATCCGTTTTTGGCATTTGACTTTGTTACGCTCTTCTAAAACAAACATTCGCCCCGGGTCTAGGATTACCCCCAGTGGCAGTGGGATTAGCGGCAGCTTTCTATTCTGTAGATACCTTATCTTCTTTACAGCCTGTATAAATGACAGCCTTTCTTGGAAAAACACATTGTCCTTTTCTCTGTGATTTGCCGTGGTTCAACCAACCTGACTCTTAATGTGTACCATACTTGGCTAACTCACGAGTCAGGGCTATTGTTTTTTTTTCCCCGATGTGAAAATAAACACTCCTTAGCCAAAACTCTCACAGTCCCTACCCGCTGTGCGCGAGCAGCAGGCTTCAGTGGTTCGTGCGCTTCTCTGCCCGCAGCGTTTGACATCATTTCTACCCGGAACTAAAGTCCGTTCACCCGGGGACGATTGCCGCGTGGTCAATCCACCTAGTTTGATTAGACCGGGCAGATGGAACTGCTCGACAAGGAAAATATTTTTCTTTTTCCCATTCTTTTCGTCTCGGGTTCTGAAATTCATCATGCGATTCTTGCCAATGGCACGACAATAATCAACGAGTTGTGAGAATTTCGGCATATAAACAATTTCAACTTATAGATCATCGGTGTGGGCTCAGCCGCTTCAACTCCAACATCGCCATGTTTGACTGAGGGCACGAAACTGCCACCTGAAGGTTGCATCCATTTCCGATCTCTATGCGTCGCGTTGAAGGCAATGGCGTCAAGTTGCCACACTAGATTTTGCTTAGTGAACTTGGCGTGCTTGGGTACGGAGTATTGAGACAGCTCTTGGTGTGGGTTCTGCTGAGCATGGCCACTGCAAGCGTTTTAAGGGGTGCTTGCGTCAAGTACACGCGCTAAGCACAGGGAGTGGCCTCGGGGTGAGTCCAACACAAAACGGACGATGACCACAGCAATATATTCGCGGGCTTGTTCATTCCATGAACGGCTGAAGATCGCTTGATAAGCTACTCAGTATGCCATTTGACACGATGTAAATCAGAGCCTGGCTTGACTTGCAATTGGCTATCTTTTAGATCCATGGCCGGAGTTGTCAACGACATAGTTCGACTCCTTCTGGCTCAACTTTGGTCACGTAGCAGCTTCCTTATTGGCCAATACTAACACAACACAGTCAAATTGGGAGGCGGTTATTATTCACTTGCAACTATACACAACTCCCAACGGTGCTTCAAACCGTACTTTTCATTAGACGACTCTATTGTGCCCGCCCACTACCATCGCTAGCGTCCTATTCGGAGATTGAGGTAGCGGCAAGCCTTGGTCGCAAGTTGCTTCCAACCAGCAACGGGCAGTATCTCCATATTGTCCAACCAGACCATTAAGCTCAGTCTGGGTGAACACCTGAGCTCCGTCTACATTAGCAAGTCATAGACAGGTGGAAAAGATCACGACTCAATCGCCTGCTGATGTTGCTCGCAGCCATCCAGGACAAAATACCCAGCCATGAATTAATACCTGACTTCCACATTAGTCCATAGAGCCATGCCGTCAAAAAAAGAATTCACCGGGTCCCCAATAAGAGATGCTGGTAACTTGCCAAAAATCCATGAGACATGCTACTGGCAACGATTACTTCTCTTTTTTGAGCCATGGGGACGTGGAGTCGTTCAGGTCTACTTCATTTAGGCATGAGCTTCAGCCGGCATTATCTCTACAAGCCAAGGTGTTCAGAGTGGAATTTCCCATTTCAGATCTCATTTGACTATGAATATCTTCAATTGTTGCAGTCTGCTTGAATGTGCCGTTTTGTCTCTGCCTACCTAGTTAGTGTGAAGGGCCATATAGGTATCCACATCCGATATGGTGTAGTGGCCAACATGATGCCCTCTCATCTCTATGAGAGGTTAGGCATAGCCCCGAGTTCGATTCTCGGTTTCGGAAGCTTTTGCAAGTGCAGCACCTGAGACAGGTTTTATGCATTATGACAGACGAGGTACATGTATAAGCAGCGCAATATCTATCGAAAAAGAAGCAAGTTATTCTGCCGTTGACTTAGCCAAAGAGTAATTTCAAGGTAATCTAAACTTCTCAACAGTTTCTATCTCCAGGCCTCAATGCCATCAGAATCTGCCAAATACTTCATGGGCACAACGCCCAAGTCATCTTGCGTGATTGCTTTCTTCTCGGCGAAGTATGGAATGACTGCCTCAGCACGGTTGAGAAAGAAATCCAATTTTGATGCTTTCCATTGCCACTCATAACCTCAAATGAGAGCAGCTGGGGGGGGGGGGGGCTATCATATCAGGTTCGATAGTGCAGTCAACAACTTTGAAGCACCTCTTGTAGGTCATGCCGTTTATCGCAGTGGCCGAATTGATGAAAACCAGGCAGCCGGTCAAGAACAGATACAATAGGTCGTTGAAAGTAACTTCTCTAGTCTGCAGCATGCTTTTCTGGATAGCGATTCCATGGAGTCCGCCCAGTTGGCTTTTACTAGGACATATGAACATCGCCGATAGCAAGTCAGAGGCATTACGTTCAAGGTCCTTTTCCACATCTTTGCTTTCCAAGATAGACCTCAGCTGGTCTCTAATGAGGATGAGATGGTTGTAAAGATACTCAAAGGTGATGCTATGATTTTGCCGTATTGGAGGATATGTGTTTGCGCGAACACACATGCTGTCAATGACTCTCATTATCACTAAACCTGTATTCTTAATCGCGCTGTTCGCAACGCGTACAAGGACTTTCCCACTTCGAGGTGTGGAAGATCCATACTTGAGCTAGTTGACTCTGTGGGGGATGCATGTTGGCTCTTCGTTTTGCAGAGATTCTGCGCGAAACATGGTGTCTCGTTCCATGATCGACCGAAACTTCCGGACAGACTCGAGCAATACCATGGTTTAGTTCACAATAAGTCGAATTCGAATGTGTGAAATTGACCAGACAAAGCGTTGAGGGTTTGTGGAAAGTCCACGGTCTTGTCTTGGCTTGTTCTGAGGTTTTCGCATCTTTATGTAAGATTGATGGGGTCTTGCTGCACTAATATTTACAACATTGAATTTAGGCATCATGAACCTTCTCCAGTCTGCTCCTTATCCGAGTCAACACCGGCGATTACTCGTGTTGTCAGTGCTGTTGAGAAATCGTCGTCGCACCGTATGACCCCCCTTCTGGATGATTCGACCGAGAGGGCAAGGAAGATGATGCTGACAAACAACCGCAGAAAATTCTTAGAGATCAAATCAAAGCAATGGAGGTTTCAGAAAGAATCAATCACGCTCGAAGCCCCAATTTACGTGGGCCTGGCCTTTGGTTCAACAGTTCCCCTCGTCACTGTCGGTTTATTATGCGCCTTCCTCGTCGGGAGAGAGCATTTGGCGTCGATCCTTTCTACTTCACTTTATTCTCGTGGCTTGTGGCTGGTCGCGGCTCACTGGCGATTAAGATATCACGGGTCTCCGATTGGACGTGGAGAGAATTCTTGCTCCGGCAGGTGACTTGTCGAACTGCTCGAGAGATCGCGACAGTCTCCGGACTCGACCCGCAAGATATCCTCATCATCTTACTCTCGTCCAACTGCTCTAAGCCAATGGACACTACTGGCCCTTATCAAACAGTTTTCGGCAAAGAACGCGTGAAAGGTGGTTTTTCAATCGATGTCAAGACCGAATTTAGGACATTTGTGAACTGCGGCCTGCTCCCGACCAAAGTTCAAACTCTTGAGGGGCCTGCATTACTCCTGTTTAAGCTCGTCGTAGGCTTCTCGGGCTTGCAAGAAGTGATGATCCCAAGGTAGGTATGCCGGCGCGTACATATGTTAGAACACGATACCAGAAACAGATGGAAGCCTGTCAGCCCCAGTAACTCGCACAAACATTAGTTGGGTCAAGATTTTGGGCATCTACAACTTGGAACAAACGAAAGTTTGCTGAAACGGCGTGGGCGACAATACAGCGACGGTTCCTGTCATTGTGACTCCATGTCTCCTTGGGTTTTATGTAGCGAGGCGTTAATAATCCAGGATTCTAATTCATAGACTGAAGAGAAACAATGCGATTTGGTACTTTTTGAAAGCTATGTCGGCCAGTCGTCTAACGACCTTTATACTTTGAATTTAGACTGGAACATTCATCAGCTGACTTGTCTTAATACTCATTGCCAATCAAGATGCATTCCTTAGATAGTATTATTTACGAATGTTGTTTCTGGGTTATCGATGCCCTCCTACGCTCAAAGTCGGGGTGGTCACAGCCGAGACAAGTTGTCACAATCCTTGTCACCTCGCAAATTCCAGCCAGCTAGGCTTGCCAGCTAGTAATTACAGGGGAAGAGTGGCTGTATGTCAATTCTGGGCCCTGCCAAACGCACATTCTCCTCAGTGGTGCCCAGGGCTTCACGTATAGGGTGCTCGTGTCTGTATGAACACGTCATGGAAGTTTTCAGCTGGACTAAATACCTGCATGTAAGCCGAAGTACCCTGCATATATGTGTCCACAATCGGAACCCTGAGAACTGGTAAAGTCTGGCTTCATGTTTTCCTACATCTACTACCTGTTTTGACTTCAATGAAGGGACGGGATCGACAAGACCCGCCAGTGATTCCAAAATGCGCTTCGCTTCAGGGATGAGGTTCTCAGGTATATGGCTTCACGCCATCACCGCCTCAGCTTCCCTATCCCACATCGCCTCCCTACGCTGCAGCGATAACGACGTCCTCCCCACACCCTCGTACGACCTCAAAGGCGCGCTTTTCACTGTGTGCACCGAAGACGTAATCAACGCCCCCATCAGTAAAATCTACGACGCGCTTCTTGACTTCCGCCGCTACAGTACCTGGAACACCTTTGTCGTTGAAGTCGACCTCCCGTCCGACGTGCAGGGACCCGAGGATGTGTACCCCGGGCTATCGATGAACTTCACCACCGCCGGTATTATCCCTGGTGCCAATACCTCCTCAACCGAGGTCATCGCCTTGCTTGCGCCGGATGTGCGCGGCTGCAACGGCGATGCCAGACGAGCCGTCAACGCGTGGGGGAACGACGACGGGCTCGGTGGCGCGTTTCTTCCGGCGGAGCATCCGAATCTACTGACGGACTTGGGGAATGGGTCGGCGAGAATGGTGTCGTATGAGACATATTACCTCCCCGGAGCGACGACGCTTTTACCGTTGAGAGAGACTTTGCAAGAGAGGTTTGAGACACAAGGGAGAGATTTGAAGAGGTTTGTGGAGGAGGGCCTTCGTTAGGGTCATCAAGTCGTCATTCAGTATTTGGTATTATCTTCGTCGACTATCCCTCAAGGGGCTTCTCTTAGGAACTTCAGGCGTCTCAACTGCTTCTTCCCTGGGTATCTCTTCCACAAATCTGCTCACGTGTGTTCTTCCACCGACTACATCTCCCCAAGTCGTCCCTGAGCTACTCCTGTCTACGGCCCAGGTATCTCCGCTGAGCCCAGAGACCGGACTCGAGCCATCAATGCCTCCCACGGTCTCCTTGTCTCCTACATCTGCTCCATTCTGCGTCACATACTCAGACCGAAGACTCAACCTCATAGTCTTGAGGATCACCCCACCCTTCTTCTCAAACTCCTCCTCACGCCACAACTCATCCCCACTGCACGTCATATCCTGCGAATAAATCGAAGAAGCCTGCGTCTTGTACCCTCCCGCTGTCCTCTCCGCCGTCTCGAATAAAATCGGCTTCCCATCCTCCGCAACATGCCAACTCCTTCCCGGTCTCCGTGGCGCCGTGCCGCTAATCAATAAACTCCCTAGACTCAGCGTCGCGGGGCCCAATTGCGCCATAGTAAGAGTCGGCAGCGGCGGCGCCGGCATGCGCAGCTTGTTCAAATGGCTTGCAATACTGGCGTTCCTGCTCCGCGCCGCTAACCCGGCGGGCGTGCTAGGTTCCGTCCATGGGTAGCCGTGGTACGTCAGGCTAGTAAGATCGAAGCTCTGCGTCTCGGCGCCGGCTTCGAGCGATCTCCGCTTTGCGCTGTTCATTATTATAGAGGGGAAGAGACGAGCGAGTAAAGGACGGAGGGTCGGCGCGCTGGCACAAATGAGGGCGAGGTCGCATTCCAGCACCGTCATGACGAAGAAGCCGAGGGTGTTACGGACCCCGGCGTCGTCGGTGGGCCGGTAGTGCAGGTGGAGGCTCAACTGTAGACGGACCATGCTAGCCACTATAACAAGAACGCTGAGACTCATGACGACTGCGAGGGCAATCTTTTGGCGGCGCGGGAGGTCGAGCCTTGCGACGGAGGGGACGACCATTGCAACGAGCCAGGCGTCTGTGGCGGAGTGGAGGCTTGCGCTGGTGATGAGGAGATCTGGGAAGCGGAAGCATACTGGTGTCGGGCGGCTAAAGAATTGGCCTTGGACGGGGTTGCACTGGAGGAAGGACATGAGGAGTAAGGGTAGGGTATAGAGAAGGACGAAGGCGACGGCGGCACGGGCGAGAAGGCGTTCCCTGGGCCGGGAAGAGGATGCGAAGACGCGAAGGTAGAGGGCTAGGATGGAGAGTTTTGTGAGGCAGAGGGTGATTTGGTAGTAGATTAGGCCTAGGTAGGTTCGCATGATGTATGGGTTTGCGTCGCTGTCGGTGTTAGTTAAAGCGGATGGTGAAGGGGCGCCGAGGAGGGAGGGCGTAGTGGCGGTGATGCTGTAGACTACGCAGAGGGCCGTGGAGAAGAGCCACGCGATGAGGATGAGAGTGTCGTCTAGGAACCATTTTCGGGTTACCCAGAGACGGGAGGCTATACGGGAGGCGATGAAGATTGTGCAGAGGGCGTGGGGGAGGAGGAGGCCCGTAATGAAGAGGGGGACGTTGGCATCTTGCTGCGATCTGTTGTTAGCCTGTGGTTATTCGAGAAGGTGAACACTATCATGACTTACAATCTCCTTCAGGACCATCGGTGATATCGTTGGAGATGACGACGGTGTGTGAGGGTGGGTGAGGTTGGCGTTGATGCTGGAGTTTGACATCGTGAACGGGACGACTACAAGAGTCACCGAGGAGTCGGATGCAGATGGTCTTGTTGCGATCTTCCACACCTGGTAATCACCGAGGATTTACATGCCTCCAAGACATGGGAGGGAATTCTAGATCTAGAGCGACAGCGTCAAGAAAAGGAAGAGACCACGCTAGGATACAAAACCCATAGGGCCCGAGGGCAGACCTGCCGTCTTTCATAGCATGGAACGAGAGAGACCTCAACTACTAGGTTAGGAAGCTCTAAACCCGTCATGCGGGACCACGTTCGAAAACCCCACCATCCCGGGTTTGGATTCACGCGGCGAACATCCTAGCCCGGCAAAGGACCCTGGAGAAGCATCTCCCGAGTCCCGGCCCACCCTTTGTCCACCGGGTGGGCTCTATGTTGAAGAAGAAGCTATGTCGATTCGTCAGCGCGGGCGCATTGGCTCCTGATGTGCGTCTGTGTGGATGTTTGTGTGGATGTGTCTATCTGTCTGCTTTTGAGTGTGCGTATGTGTGAGTGGATTTGTGGACTTGTCCATGTCTGCCCGAAAAGGCAAAAGGGAAGGTGAGTGAGTGAGAGTCAAGTGTGCCAGATGCAAGTCCCAGGCTAAACGGGTGGGATCGCGATTGGATGGACATCTGTTTCTTTTGGGGTTCTCGGCGGGAGAGGCCGATGGAGGGGCAGAGAGGGTTGTTCAAGTTCCAGCTACTCAGCTTCCTTGAACGGTTCGTGAGTGAAGTGTCCTGTCACCTTTTCAGCTTCACCTCAGCTGTCATCTCATCTTCGTGAAACGGGATAGACATTTCGATGGTTGAGAATGAAACAATTCCGACTGTCATCTCACGATAACCTCGAAACAGAGTCAGAAACAGAGAAGGGAAAAAGAAGAGGAACAAACTCACGACCCCCGCGTCGACTACTCCAACTCGAGTGAGCTCCCGCACGAGTCGCTATCGAATTCGTCGATGCGGGGTGAGAGATGCCACACACACACACACACACACACACTTTGCATTCCTTATCCGCAGGCATCTGAACATGCACCTCATCCCTCCACACCGCAAATCCCGCGACCACATGTCCCATCCCCGCAGGCATGGTGGCATGGCAGCACGGAGTGCCGTCCGGGACTTTCCCGATCCGGAAGGACCTGGCTTGATTGCCGCGCCGATTGGTGGGACCGGTTCGTTTCTCAAAGTTCTGGTCTGATGGCATGCTTCATCTCAAGGTTCGTTGCGGTAAGACTTCACCACGCAATCGAACGCTGTCTGTCCCTCATTGTAGAGTGTGAGCGGATAATTGCGTGGTGGGCGAACACGGACCAGACGATTCACGGTGATGGCGACTGGCGATGGCGATGTTGACGGGCAACGGCGATTGCATTTTCTGCCCACCTCAGTCGGGTCATGCATCTCTCGTCCATCCACCCTCTTTTCTAGGTAGTCCCGACACGGCTACTTTCTGCATTCTCGGAGCTTCTTCTTTGTGTCGTTCATTACCTTCCCATTCCACTCGGCTAACGACATCTCATCGGGCAGAGATATTTGTGAGCTGAAGTGGATGGCGATTTCTGATGGGGTGGTGAGGTGGTGAGGGAGCACAAAGGATACACCCAGACTTCCGGCCCGTCAACCCCGCCATAGCGATTCGTTGTGCGTCTGTGTTGATTGCTCCCACTGCGATACCCAGCACACACAAAAGGTTCATGGGCGCTAGGAGCTTGACGACGGAGACTGCGCTTCCCGGCGTCTAGAAGTCCGATCCATGAATGAGGCCATATCAGGATATTCTTAGAGAACTGAAAGGGCCGATCTAGAAGCTTATCTTCGCAATTGGCAGGTTGAAAGGTCTGTGTCAGGTGGTTTCTTTTGGATGTGTTCTGGCTGAGTTCCTCTTCTGCAAGGATGAGCGGGAATCGGTAGGATCGAAATGTCACCGTATTGACGTTGCCGGCTGCAACCATTTGCCGGGGAGTCTGTGCGATAGATGCGATGGGTTACAAGATGCCCTTCAAAAAGTTTCCCTCAGAACTGTGATGGTCCATTCTGTTTGGCATCGAAGACGACATCTCAAATCAAGGATGAGATTCGAGGTGCAACATGGCTTTGGCCTTTATTCTATCGCATTAGTTCTCCCCAAAACGTTTTGTTTGACGTCTCTGCCTCACGGACTTCGGTGCATCTTCAATCCTGATCATAGCCCACTCTCCCTATGATCAGTGAAATAGCACGACGTTCAGTGCGCTTACAAGCCTCATCTTGGCGGCGCATCTTGACGATAACTCTAGTTCACGATGTCTTCTTAGCGATCTAGTCAAGAAGTGGCAGACCTCAAAGTGTGAGAAGCGAGAACTCATGTAAAGTCGTCTGCTAGTTGGAGATGGGATTTTTCTTTTCGTCCTGGTAACTCCAAGCATCGCGACACCGGGTACCTCAGTCGCAGAAGACTCCAGATCAAGCCAGTGTCCTGTTCATCACCTCTTCATCCCTCAATCTCCTTAACCTTCTCCACAACCCTCAAATACCCAGGCTCCTTCTTCAGCCGCTCAACGTACTCGAACAGCACAGGATGCGCCGCCCGCGCTGACCCGCCGGGCCAGCTACCCATCGTATCCCACGCGTTCTCGGCGTCAGCCGTGATGAGCGCAAAGCTGATGAGTATATCCGCCGCCGTAAGCTCCGGCCCGCAGAGAAACCCCTTGCCATCGGCTGACACCCCGGGCGCAGTTTTGAGGAAGTTCTCGAGCATAGCAAGGTGCTTTTGCGCATTGGGGAAAACGACAAGGGAAAAGATCTTGGAGGCGACGAGGGAGGTAAGGGGGCGGATTAGGAAGGGGACGTTGGATGATTTCAATACTACAGATATCTGAGTCAGAATATCATATTGCCGCGGAGGACCGAGAGTAAACAGGGAAAGACGTGCTTACCATTGATGAGAATAAACTGCACAATCACGGGGAAGAAACTCCCCTCGACATAGTGCAAAAGGTACCAGAACCGTGCATACGCCTCCGTCTCGCCCCCGACTTTTCCCTCCCGTCCGGGCTTCCAGCGCGGCGGCACGATGCCGGGTTTCCGGTCGCCAAAGTGCTCGACGAGGTACTGCGTGATGTACCCGCTCTCTGCGAGCCGGATCGGTGCGGGGCTGGGATCCTCATTGCTGGGGGTGGGCGTGATTTCTAGCACGGGCGCTTTGCCTAGCGGGTGGACTGCTTCGAGCTCGGGGGGCGCGAGACGGTTGGGGGCGCGGCGGAAGAGTTGGACTGTGTAGGGGATCTTGAGCTCTTCGAGGAGCCAGAGGGTGTTTTGGGAGCGGGAGTCGTTGAGCCTTGTATTGATGAGTCTTCTGGGGATTTAGGTGTTTGACGAGGAGAGGGAGTTTACCAGTATAGCTTCACTCGTGGTAGTTCTTCCGTTGCCATTTTGGAGGGTTGTTGTGATGTGAAGGATCGCGTTGGTGTGAATTTGGGAGTGAGCGTGGTGGTGTGAGCGAACCTGTTGCGAGCGTGAGTAGTGGTGGTGAGCTTGATTATGAGATTTGATGATGGGATTCTTTGAATAAACGGTGAGCGACAGCAGTGTCGACCAAGGATCTCAAGTGCATTCATGACGAACAGCAGGTTGTATGACGGAACTTGAGTAGTTTCTTATACTATTTCTATGTCAAATGTATGGCGTTGATGCATGCTGTCATCATTATGTGGATCGATGGAGAAGGACTTTGCTAGAATGGCATGTTTCGCTACGGATTCTCGCGTGCTTTGTTTCCGCACAGTCTCCGAGGTGACGGACGGCACAGTTTCCGTGTGGAGGGGGGTGTAAGACGGAGAGATCGGGGCTCCGGAACGCCGATGGTGAGGCTGGCGAACGGGGGTTTGAGGACCATATGAGCCGACTACTGGCAGATGTCTTAATGATAGTTGATCATTGTAACCAAGCTGGTAGAATATAATGATGGGGGGGCTTGAGAATCTTGATTTGAGATGCTGGAAGAGTCAAGTTTGAGAGGTGTAAGCCGGAACGCATTCCGTACAGCTACTTACTTTATCCAGATGCGGCATGAAGCTGACAACGGCACCCGGGCACTCCCGCAGACGATCCCGTGAGACAACTGTGCCTCATTAGAGCACCCCGCTGACTTTCATCTCGATGATATTCTTCCAAAATAACCCAAAGCGTTCGTCAGTCTCACTCAGCGAGATACGATCCGCACACATCCATTGGAGAGACCCTGGATCTGGTCGAATCAACCAGTCCAGTTTTAACAACTCTACAGCCAAGCATCACTAGGGCTCTGCTTTTCCATCGCAGACCTACAACTTCCTCTTCACCAGCCCCTTCCAGAAATCAAAACTATTTTCATCACTCTGCAAAGCCCACATCCGCCCCGTCTCCCTCCCCATACCATCCACCTCGACAGCCTTCAACATGCCCCAATCCCGCGTAATACCCACCACCTTGGCTTTCGCCCCCGCCTCGGCCTCGAGCGTGACGTTCTGGCCCGAGTGGAGCCAGTGCTTGTAATACCGCTCCTCGAGGTCGCGCGAGAAGCCTTCACGGCGGAACTGTGCGTAGAGCGCCTCGATGCGAGTGAGGATCCGCGCCAGGAGCGTTTCAAGGTGGAAGCCGCCCGCCGCTTTCAGGGATCCGGGGGCGATGGCGTTGAGGGAGGTGGTTGGGCGCGAGTTTGTCGTGTTGATGCCGATGCCGAGGACGATTTGGTAGGCGCCTTGGGAGTAGGCGCAGTTGGAGAGGATGCCGCCGATTTTGACGTACGAGGGGTCTTCGGGGGTTGACGCTGGGTCGCGGCAGTCTGCATGGTGTTGTGAGCGTACGGTATCTACACGTCAGGATGATATGGCTCAGGCGCGTCAAACTTACAGATATCGTTGGGCCACTTGAGCTTCACGGGGACGTCGCCGCAGGCTGTGTTGTATGACTTGACGGCCTCGACGATGGCGATGGCGGCGATGTACTGGATGAAGACGACTGGATGGGAGGCGGCTAGATGAGCTGGGTGGTTGATGACGGTGGAGAAGATGAGGCAGCCCGCGGGCGAGACCCAGACGTTTGTGCCACGGCCGCGGCCGGCGACTTGGGTTGTGGCAGTGAGGGTGAAGCCGGTCGGAAGATGAGCGAGCAATTTGGGATTCCTAGAAGATAGATTCATTAGCATGGATGGTTCTTGTTTCCAACGGTAAGAGGGGGGGGGGGGGGGGGGGGGGGGCAGAAAGGGGTGCCATACTTATCCATGAGCGTGTTCGTGCTGGTGACAACCTCCCCATACATGAGTGTATCACCCCACTCCTCCGCCGCAGGCTCAATCGCGCGATACTCCTTGAGAGAATTATAAAACAACCGATGATTAAAGCTCGGCGTCTCCTTGGCATCCGGCCACTCCTCCTCATGCGGGACAATCACCTTGACCACAGTATCATAATCCACCATCCGGCCCTCCCCTTCTTGCCCAGAACCAGATGACGGCAGAGCTTGCTTGAGCTCATCGACATCCCACCGCGAAGACCGCTTCTCGATGCGGAAGACGTCGTGCTCGCCGCGGATGTACTCCTCCTTGTCTTCGGCATCCTGCCCCTGGCCAGCCTCGCGTGTGATGGCCTCCTCCCAGGACGCGAGCATCTCGCCGACTTCGATGTGGTTAGCCGAGGTCAGGTGCATGCGCGAGAGGGATGGCGGCGCGGAAGGGTCGGCGCTGAGGTCCAGGCCGAGGCGGGAGAGGCATGCGCGGAGGAAAGCTACGCGGGCTGCGTCGGCGGCTGCGAGGGAGGATACGAGGGCCTCGTAGGATGGAATTTGGGGCTGGGGGTTGAGGTTTGCTGCTGCGAATCTGGTACATCATAGTTAGGTCGAGAGGTTATGAAAAGGGGGCAAGGACAGCGAGGACTCTTGGACAAACATACTCTGGATGAGGACCGGTCAGGACAACGTTACCGGAGCCGACTTTGCAGTGTATCACGGCTGCTTTCCCCGCTCCTCCATCGACCGCAATCTCATCAGCATACTGCGCGAGCACCTCTACATTGTCAAACTTCTCAGCATCGACAAAGACGCCTCCGCCGTTATAGTAACTCAAAACCTCCCCCTCCCCAAACTCATCCTTCACACTCAACCGCACCACCCTCGCCCCCCTCTCCGAATGATACTCGAACCCCTTCACCGCTCCGCCCCTACACGTTCCGGGGAAGAAGCCGAGCTCGCGGGACCCAATGACCTCGAGGGTCCGGTCTCCGACCTCGAACTCGCACCGGTGGCTGCCGTAGTACCCACCGGCGCAAAAGCCGAGGTAAGCGCCGCCGCGGCGGACATAGTCGGCGATGCGGCGGTTCCCGGCGCCGTTGAGGACGCGGCAGTAGCCCAGGTCGCCGCCGCCCGGGACGACGAGAAGGGCGCAGGTGGGCTGCCAGGGTTCTTTCAGGAGGGCGCCCTCGGCGACGGGAATGACGGCGTAGGTTGGGGACAGGAGGCGGCGGAGGGAGTAAATGCAGTGGCGGACCGATTCGACGGTCGTGCCGGTGCCTGGGGGGTTGAAGTGTGAGTCAATTTATTCACATAGTAAGGTGGTTGAAGGGGAGAATATACCGGTATAGACCAGCACGTTTAATTTACGGGAGACCATGATGAGAGGCTGTGAGAGAGCGTGATGAGGGATGAGATGAGTCTTGAGCGATGAGTGAGTTTCCGTGGCGGCGAGTGTCGTAGCTTCGGGGTTTGGTTGGCACTGTTTTGGAACCCCAACAAAGTTCCAATTGTGCTAATTCAAATGAGACTCACCTCACACCTTGCAAAACGATTCAATCACCGACGCAGGACGACAACGACGTCTGCACAACCGACCGAAAACCGATCTCGGGAAAAGAGACGAAAAGAAAGATGTCCAAGCAGGAGAGCGACGCAGCAAAAAAGCCGTCGACGGAGGATGACGAGCCTGATGACTGGTATGTTGAACTTGTCTTCTGCCTTGCTCAACTGGGCTGTCTTGTCTTGTCTCATACGACAAGAAATCGTCGTTCGCGATGTTAAAGGACAAAACCTCGACAAAAGAGCAGGCGGAGAGAGATGTAAACAAATGCTATACAGCTAATCATCAATATGCAGGGACAAGCGCATCTTCAGCACGGGTTGCGCAGGTACGCATCGACTACTCTCCCTCTCCGGATCATAGCGGAAAGATCGTGCAGACGGAACAGACACTCGAATTGTGGCGTTAACTTTGACCTCCCCTGGTCTATCTCTATAGACGAGAATGCCAAGTTGACAGATTGCTATTTCGAGAAGAAGGACTGGCGGCAGTGTACGGCCGAGGTATGTCATTCTCTCTTTCGAGTGAGATCTTTTTCTCTCGCAGCAACGATGTAGAAGATGACCTGACCTGAAGGTACCAGATGGAACATTTCAAGAGCTGTTGGAAGCAGCAGGGCAACGATCGCCGGACAGACGCAAAGGATGCGTAAGGCAAAGACAAGAAGAAACTCCTCTTCTCGATAAAGAGCTGAAGCTTGTCCACTACTTGTATCAACAACTGTAAATAAATCATCACAAAAACAATCGCAACTCATCTCATTCCCTTTGGTCATCTCACTCGCTCACCAACCCCCAAAAGTGGACTGACGCCATCTCCGACGGGACGAAAAGAAGACAAAACCAGTCGCTCGCACAGTGTTCTAGCTCCAGATACATGGCCCAAGCTCCCGCCTCACGGGCGCCGCATTCACCCGCGCCGACCAAATTTCATTCTCAATCCTCCCCCGTCCTACACGCAGCCCCGGGTCTATGAGCATCATCGACGCGCAAACCATAACCATACACTCTCTCCCTCTCTCCCCGTCTCCTTCTCTCCCTCTTGCGCGTGCTAGTGTTCTTTACAAGATATACCCAGACACGCACCTTAATCGTTCTCCCACACCACCCACTCACTCAACCGAAAAGTCGCATCGTTCACGCAAGACAAACCACAATGGCCTCCTTCACCATGCGGCCCCTCCTCCGCGCATCGCGAACAGCAACAACAACTTTCACCCCAATCGCAAGAATAGCCACAACATCCCGCTACAAGGCCGCCTCCGCCACCACACCCGCCTCCTCCCCCGCAAAGTCTGCGCCAGCATCAACCTCAACTTACGCCAAAAAGACACCCGCCCCAGCCCCGAAGCCCTCGAAACCCTCCTCCTCCTCAGCAGCAGCAGCATCTAAAGCCACGCCAGCAGGACCAGCAACAACATTTCCAACCGCTCCACCATACGTTCCTCCCCCGCAAAACCAGACCGCAGACCAGACACAACAACAGCAACAGCAGCAAACACAGCAGCCGATAGACTGGTCAACATCCTACCACGGCCTCGGCACAGCCCGCTTTCCCAAGGAAGTCGTCGACATCCTCCTCCAACCCGTGAACCCCGCCGACGTGGAAGTCAAGCCCGACGGCATAGTCTATCTCCCCGAGATCAAGTACCGCCGCATCCTCAACCAGGCCTTTGGCCCGGGCGGATGGGGCCTCGTGCCAAAGGGCGATGTCGTGGTGGGCGAGAAGGTCGTGACGAGGGAGTACGCTCTCATCGCCGAAGGACGGTACGTTTTCTCGCTGGACCCTCAAAAGTCCCCTCTACCTCTCCCCCATTCGAACCACTCTATAAACCCCTGGTGAAGAACCACGAAGCTAACATGACCCACAAACAGCTTCATCTCCCAAGCCCAAGGCGAAAACGGCTACTTCTCCGTCGAATCCCTCCCCTCGGCCGTCGAAGGCTGCAAATCAAACGCTCTGATGCGATGCTGCAAGGACCTCGGCGTCGCCTCCGACCTCTGGGACCCCGTCTTCATCCGCCAGTTCCGCAAGGAGTACGCCGACGAGATATGGGCCGAGCACGTCACGACGAAGCGCAAGAAGCTCGTCTGGACGCGCAAGGACGTGCCGTTGGCGTATCCTTACAAGAAGACGAACTAAGCGCCAGAGGCCGAGAGACCACGAACCTGGAAGACGGTTGTTTTCACGGCGGTAAGGGTCGTGGCGGGGGTTCATTACCAGCTCGCATATTCTTGTCAACGAAAGATTTGTATAAATAAAAATAGATGGATGGATACGTGTAAGATGGGTGGCAAGAGCTGGGAATCTCAACTGTAACATTAGACGTATATATCATGACTTTCCTCGGGATAGGGGGAAAGGTCGTAGATGCATAGACCTTTGCATAGCGGTCAATCAAAGAGTAGTACAGACACGAATAGGGCTAGTCTCGAAGGAACGTTGGTCAGCTGTTGAAAGCGACTCCCAGGTCTATTCAGCCCCCCCTTTAAATGTTATCGACTGGGAGCGCAGACTTTGCTGGTCCCGGGATGACATGCACTCTCGGGTGTATCATCAATCGATCATGACTCCATCCCTCGCCTGAGGCCGAACATCTAAACCATGTAAGAGTACCAAAAATCACCGCGCGAAAACTCCATTTCCATTGACAAACGCCGTTGTCATATCTGTAGGGCGGCATCACTTGTGCACACCGGAGCTGGATCCACCCTCGGGATTCTCAGCCGTCGGTGTGGCACCCCATCCCCACGGCATCCATGATCCCCCGCTCGTCTGCCTCCGCCTAACGGATCCGTCCTCGTCGTCACCGCCGAGGTCCTCGGCCCCACTCTCGGCGTCAATCTTTTCGAAGTCGGTCTCGCTCCGCGACTTGCTCAGCCCGCTGTGCGCGCTCGGCGGTCTCTGGGTCACTTCCTCCTCTTCGTTGCCGTCGAGCTGCATGCTCCCCAAGGAGCGGCTAAACGTTTCGGGATGCGCCGAGGACGAAGATGCCGCCTCCTCGCGTTCGAGGGCTTTGAGAAGAAAGGCGAGACGCTCACGCTGTGCGGCGATGAAGCTCGTTCTCTCGCCGCCCTGGAGGTTCGGTGGGATGATGGAGCCGGACTTGGAAAGGTCTTGGTGCTGTCCCCCACCGGTTGCGGCGGAGTAGGCGCCCGCAAGGAGGTTGTAAAAGTCGGCGCCGGTGTGGCCTGCGGCGGCAGCGGGGGCCCAGCGCGCGGCGGGGACGCTAAACCGGGCGAGGAGGGACTGGGTGTAGGACTGCGGTGGGTGGCCGGCAGGAGCGGATGCGGCGGAGGGTTGGGATGCGGGTTCGGGGTCGCCTGGGGGCAGGCCGAGAACGTTTGTCTTGATGAGCTCGATTGCGCGTTTGAGGTAGGCGATACCAGCGGCCTTCAGGCGGTCGTGGGCCTCAGAGATGAACTCCTCGATTTGGGCCTCGTTGTCGTGGAGGAAGGGGTGGACATGGGTTTGGTAGATGATGCGGGCGCCTTGAGTCTGGGGGAGGACGAGGTAGAGGAGGAATAGGAGGCGGATGTAGGCGTAGAATGGGATCCTGTGGTTGGTGTTAGTGGTTGGTTGAGAGAGGGGAGACTGGATGTTGGTTGCAGTCTGCGAGTCAGGACGTACCAAACGAGAATCCATTCAGTCCAGGACTCGACGAGGAGTGCGCAGGCGAGGACGACCCAGTACATGAGCCATGGTGTCAGTTGGGCAGGGTCGGAGGTCTTGAGGGCCTTGTAAGAGGCGAAGAGGGGAAAGAGGAAGGAGGCGATAGAGCTATGAGGTGGAATACCGTGTTAGTCGAGTGGTTCGAAGTCCAAGCAGGACCAAAGCCTAAGGAACCCATGCAGCACCGAGCGTATCATGGAGGTCACGGAGTGAAGATAGCACCCATTGCGCGTGTTTGGAGGAGAGTGTAACTCACGATAAGAGGTGGGCGAATATGTCAAACATGGTTGCGATATGAGGTCTCGATAAGGTCGTGTAGGTGGAGAGGAGGTAGAGGTGTAAGAGGGAAGAAGAAGGTTTGTTCGGAACCAGAGAAGAGATGGAAGAGCGTTGTCGGCCAGGTAGCTTTGCACGGCTCGGTCAGCGCGCGCAGCTGTCGCAGGGAGCACAGCCGACGTCAGGCGGGGGGGGGGGGGGGGGGGGGGGGGCTGACGGATGGGATGAGCGTCGAGGGGCAGCGTTTGAGGGCGCGATATGTAGGTTGATAGGAACGTGTGAGTATCCGCAGGACTTTGGCTGTGAGTGTCAGCCGTGGACAAGGCACGGAGTGACAGACTGAAAGAAAAAAGGGCTTGACTAAAGCTGGAGGAGCAGATGGAAGATGCAGGATTGCGGATGCGGAAGCGGGTGCAGCAAGGTGAGGTCAGGTAGAGAGCAGCACCCCAGTGCCGGGTGTGTAAGGCAGGGTAAGGTACACGGCAGCTTACACAGCAGACAGCACGCGGAAGCAGCAACCGGCGCTCGGTGCTCGCTGGGGGCGACGAGGGGAGGTGGGCAAGGTGGGGTCCCTGAGCACGAGGACAAAGCAGGCGGGTGCAGCGGGCATCACGGGCACTTGCCGTTGGATCGGGGGGCCACACGGTAATGTACCTTTTAGATGCAATTAGGTAGGCAAGGTACCTTGCATCGGTTGACTAAGGTAAGGTAAGGCGGGGGGGCGGCCGATGAGATCTTGGCTTTGGTGCTTTCAGCAAGATGCGATGTGATTATAGGTACCTAGACGTGCTAAGGTTGGCTGGGTGGACGTCATGGAGGGGTCGGATAAGGTGTTGATAAGGTGTTGTTGGTGTCAGCTCGGGTGGGCGATAAGCCGATAACGTCCAACGGGTGACGGATGAGGTAAGCTTGAGAGGGGAGCTGAAACCGGACAAGACAGGGAAACCTGCTGATTCGTGACACCGCTCTCATCTCATCTTTGCTCGTCTTTCTTGGTGTTCTGCAAGGCTCACCGAGGTTAAAGACAGCGCTCTAAATACTCACGAGACCATGTGGTCGCCGTGTTTCCATTACCCCTGTTTGGCATAGATGGAGATGTGTTCATTCTCAACAAGGCTTGGTTCCTGGCTTGACTCACTGAGCAAACATGTTCCCTCCATCACTCCCATTCAACATCGCTAAACACCCTGACTTCACCTAACAAGACATCCACGACGGGCCGCAGGTAACCACATCTCGGCCTACTGATACAGGCACCGTGTTTTGCATCCAGGCATCCCCCGTATCTGAGCGCCATGTGACGTCTCCTAGCGCCCTTCGGTCCCGCCCGACGATCGGGGGTGATGTTCCACCTTTGCCGCTCCTCTCCGCATCTTGCCGCTTTGGGATACCCACTCATGGATGGACCATCTTCACCGAGACTTGCCTCTTGGATCAGCATCTCGAGATCAAGGACTAAACACATAGGTCTTGGTGTGTGATGCGAACACGTTGTCGATAGAGAGGTCCACGTACGCAATGCTTCCAGGCTGCCAATCATCAAGGCCGCGCGTAATTCCTAGGCACCGACGTAATGAGATGAGAACAGGTTGGCCATGTCTATTGAGGACAGCGTCAACCAGAGGAAGTCCCGACATCGATGAGCGGTTCCATGGTTCCCACTCTACCCGTCTTGAGTCTCGCCGAACCTATCATTCCATCACTCTCACTCTTCCTCATCAAGCTAGAGACGCCTCCAAGACCCCGAGTCAAAGTATGTAGTTCAGCATATGAGTAGACGCTCAAAACTCGCAATCTGCGCAAACACTGATGATATTCTATGTGGTCTAATAACTCACTGTAACAGCGTACAAACTCTAGCCCATTCCAAACTCCAAGCTTTCACGAAACCTCATCGCCTCGCCCTCAATTATACGCCACCACGTTATCAATGGCACTCTTATTCAGACCAGGCCAATGCTTCTTCCCCCATGTAAACCACAGAGTCACAGCACCAACCACAACAACAACATAAATCGGCCCAGCATAATTCATTTCCGTCCCCGTAACCGGAATCGTCTGCGGGAACGGCAACCAGATGCTCAAGTAAATCGACCACAGCAGCGCGTACACATTAATCGGCGTGCCCCACCCCCTCGGCAGCGACCACCCGCCATACTGCACCTGATACTCCGGCCCGTGTCCGATCCGCCCCGTCAGACGCGCGTGGAGCATACAGGATATCGCGATGATGTACGAGCCGTACAGCCCCAGCGACGACAGCGCCGTAAAGGCCGAGAACACCGTCGCCGTGGCGTTGTTGCCGACGGTGAAGAGGGACAGGCAGGTGACGATGACGCACGGTAGCCAGACGGAGCGGATCGGTACACGGTGGGTAGGATGGATTTTGGCAAAGTACCGCGGCAGGCCGCCGTCGCGGGCCCAGGCCCATGTGATGCGCGAAACGGAAGCCAGCGAGGCGGCAACAACGCAGAATGTGATGACCAGCAGACCGACGACCATGGCTGTGCCGGCAGCGGGACCCGCGGCGTTGAAGAGAAGAGGGATGATGGGGTAATCCGAGCTCAGGATCGCCTCCGTCGTAGCCGGGTCGCCGCCCATACCGAAGAGAATGGCGAGAATAATACCGTACGAGAGCACGCCGTTGAGGATAATCGTCCACAGCATTGCGCGCGGAACAGCCTGCTTCGCCTTGCGCGTCTCCTCCGCCATGTGCACGACGCCATCGAAGCCGATGAACCCCCACGCGGGGACAAGCATGCCGATATTCCAGCTCACAAAATCGTTTGTCCACCCCGAGCTCACGGTGCGCTCAAAAAACACAAAGTCGGCTGAGGCGCGGGGCGCAAGCGTCAAGAGGACGACGACGAAGATGAGCCAGAGGACGACGTGGAGGACGCCGGCCAGGAGCTCCATCCAGGGGATGGTGCGGAAGGCGTACATGTTGATGAGGGCGCAGGCGACGAGCTGGGCGATGATGACCATTGTGATGTGCCAGGGCTGGAACGTGTACGAGGGGTAGTTTGTGCTGACGAGGCCGATCATGATGTTCGCTTCTGAGGCGGCGGAGCCGGCGAGGGCGGAGACCCAGGCGAACCAGGTTACCCAGCCCTGCATCCACTGCGAGGGGGGAGTCTTGGTCAGTTCTGCGTGATCACAAAGGGCGTGGAAAAGACTCACCGTGATGAACCGCCGGTGCTTCTCTGGCGCGAGGAAATGCGTCCAGTGGTACTGCGCGCCCGCGATGGGCTGGATGGTCGCGAGCTCAGCCATGGAGAGCGCCTGGGCCATGGCGCCGACGACGACGAGGACGATGCCCCAGGCGAGCGTCTGCGGTCCGCCGTTATAAAAGGTCGCACCCATGTCCATCGCCATGACTTCCCACGAGGACATGAAGATCAAGGCAAAGGCCAAGAGCTGCCAGAAGGAGAAGAGGCGCTGACAACAACAACAACATTTGCTCGTGTTAGTCGTCATATCCAAGGCTTATATTGGAGGACCCAAGATAGATACACGTACCCTGAGCGTCGAGTCACCGGTGCCGCCATCAGCCATTGAGTACGGGTAGCCGTTCTCGTGGTGGTTGTTCTTGGTGCCGTCGTCTGTGTTGCCGGAGGAGCTTGTCATGTTGACGGAGTCGTAGCCGCCTTTTGGCTGCTGCATCTCGATACCGTCCGCTTTTGCCATGCTTGCTGTCTCTTTTTCTGGACCGAGTCCCCCTCTTCAATGCTACAAGTACCAAAGTCAGGAAACCCTCAGGTAAAGAAGCCGTCGGCAACTCAAGTATCAAGCACCAGAGAAGAACAGCAATGCAGGAAAGCTTTTTTGAACACAAGGAAAAGAATAAAAAAAAAAAAAGAAGACAGGCGCGCGATCTGTGTATTAACCGTCATGCAGGTAGGATAATGCCAAGACAACTAGGCGATCTGGACCGGCAGACTAGACATGCAGTCCCCTCTCGGACCACTGGCACCAGTCCGACTCGAGATGCTCGGTACGTGGTGCGATGCGACCCTGACACCATTTGTCACAGGGTATCAAAGATATCACCGCGATCCCATTGGTGTGCTTGTATGGTTTCACTGGCTTTCTTGAAGAAGCTCCTGATTCCCGTGGTGCCGTGGTGTTCCCCCCCCCCGGCCTCGCGATGGAATCCGATCAACGCTAGCAAGGGAGGAGAACGGTTTTTTTTTCGCCACGATTATGAGCTGTGGTGGGGTTTCTTTTTGAATCTGCAGTATGTTTCGAGCGAATCTTGTGGGAAAGAAGAAAAAGCCCAATGCAAGTTGTGCATGGGGTGAGGTCACATCGCGATATGAACAATTGCTCGGCTTGTGCGGCAACGGTTGAAGCCAACGGGATCTATCACGTTCAAGGTGATCTCAGTATTGGTACCAGCATCTGCGACAAAGCAATCCCTGTTACAATACTTAATTCTTCCTCGGACTTTCCAGACGCAAGAATGAGAACAATCAGAGCTCTTAGCCGAAACTGTCACAGGTTTACCCAATGAAGAAGGCAAAGATGGCAACCAGCAGACCCGTCAGAGAGACTGTCACCTAGTACCCTGTCCTGTTCATTAAGAGTCTGGAACTACGATTCCTCGACTTATAACTTGGCTGCGCTCAAATAGTATGGTCCGGGAGGCTGGCATCCAGCCCGCACCAAAGACGCTGGTAGAGCTGGTCTGCCCGGGACTTGAGATTGGGCAGCACCTCGAGAGGACGAAGCGCCAGGGCTAGAAAGAAGGTAAACGCAAGTTGAATGAAGAGACCCGTAACGGGAAAGTCGTTCGGCGATAGATGGCTGACTGTGAGTTTCTTTGACTTGGATGGGAATGATGTAGGCTGGGTGATCAAGATACCCCAGCTTGAGGCTTTGGAAACGTCGTTTGACGATGACTTATGCACGCATCCAGAGTCTGTTGTCATTCGAGGACTGGATGATTCTGAATATTGCATTGGAAGTGAATGCAGCTTATACCATGTATGGTCTCGGTGATTCAGAGCGGGAGCGCTTGGGGTTGAAATAAGCTTATTTATCACGTAAATGCTAGTGGACAGCAAACAAGACGGGACTCATGTTGCTAGTGTCGCCTTCTCAACCTCAAATCACTTCTCAACACCCTTAATAAGATCGGCAGCATACTCCGCAACAGCATACACAGTAGCCTGCGTATGCGCCGCAGGCAACAACGGCATAACACTCGCATCCACAACCCACAGCCCCTCGACGCCATATACCCTCAGCCCACTATCCACAACACCACCCAAGTCCCGCGGCATCATCGCCGCCGTACCGACGGGGTGATCGAAGCTCGAAGATAGCCACGACTCCCGCATGACAGCCTCGATCTCAGCATCGCTCTCAACGCCTGGGCCCGGGAGGATCTCTACCGCTGCGAGCGTCTCAACGCTGGGACTCGCCATGAAGGCGCGGGCTTTGGCGACGGCGCGGAGGAGGAGGAGCGTGTCGATTGGGTTGGAGAGTGTGTTGAAGTCGACGAGCGCGCCGCCAGCACCTGTGACAGAGGATTCGGGGTCCGGGTTCGTGCTGTTGATTGTGATGGTGCCGCGGGAGAGGGGCTTTTGGAGGGCTACGGGGACGGATTCTGCGCCGCCAAAGGTGAATTCCATGACGCCTGCTTTGGGGTTGCGGAACTCCTTGCTCAAGATTTCGCGCTGGCGGATAAAGCCCTGGACCAAGACCGGGTTCTCGGCGTAGACTTCGGGGAGGTGCTGGAGCGGGTCTTGGGAAGTGACGGCGCCGGCGATGGCTTCGTAGTTGTCTGGGTCGAGGTCCTGGAGGGATGTGAAGACCACTCGATTTCCCCAGGCGTGCGTGTGGGGGCCCGTTCTGTTGGCTTGGTATTCTGCCCAGGATTCGTTGTAGAAGGTTTCGTTGGTCATGAGCGTCGGGTTAAGGGATGTGTCGTTGGTAACTTGGTGAAGAGAGGTTAGTATTCTGACAGGAGCTCCGGTGTAGTTGTTCAACTTACAATCGTAGACCATAAAGATGGCGGGATGGTCCTGAAAGTTCGCACCAACACCCGGTAAGTCAACCACCACGTCGATGTCAAGAGACTTCAGGAGCTTCTCTGGACCAATGCCGCTCAACTGCAATAATTGAGGGGTATGAACTGCCCCTGCGGCGAGCACCACGTTCCGAGATTCCACGAACTTGGTGTCGGATCCATCACGGCTGCCAACTACCACACCGGTCGTTGCGTTCCCCTCAAACTTGATAGCTGCGCCGTAGTGACGTACCAACAAATGCAAATTCTCGCGGGCGCTGACAGGATTGAAGTATGCCGTCTCAGCAGTTGATCGAGTCGCGTTCGGGCCGCCAGAGTTCTGCGGGAGCCACGCAATGCCGACGTTGTCGCCGTCCGCACCGTCTCTCAAAGTCGGCACTTTGATGTCTTGAGCCCATGCCTGTGCCATTAGAGCTGGTAATTGGCATTAGCATATTGATCGGCGGGCGTGTAACTCCGTCAAGGCAACTCACCAGACTCCGGCCACTGCCACGAAGGAAACCCAACCTGAATAGGTCCATCACCATACGCATTCTCACTCCACTCATACCCGTACTCCTCAACATACTCATTCAGAGGTGGCGCGAACGTGGACGACTTTTGGAAGTACTTGGAAAGAGTCGCCCAGCCCCATCCAGGGTTCCCGAGCGCTTCCCACGCATCGTAGTCGGCCTCGGAGCCGCGGTCCCAGGCCATGCCATTGACAGCGGAGCTCCCGCCTACTACGGCACCGATACGAAGACGGGATGTACGGTTGCCGAGATGCGCTTGAGGAACGGACGTCACGTTGTAGAGGCGCGCCGACTGGTCGTATGTTGCAAAGTAGGGTACCGTGATGTTGATTGTGTTGGCAAAGTCTCCGTACTCGACTACTAGGACAGTTTCTGGGGAGTTACAAAATATGGTTAGTCAAGTCTTTGTCAAAATAGGAGTCATTCGCGGCTTTAACACTCACTTTTTGGGTCTTCACTGAGTCTGTTGGCGACGAGGAGGCCGCTCGTTCCACCCCCGACCACGATGTAGTCATACTGCTCACAAATTGTGTCGAAACTTCTCTTAACCTGTTCATTATGTTGTCCCAGCACCAAAGTCGTCGCAAACAGGAGTCCTATCACCAGTTGAGATGCCATGGTCTATCCAAAGAGGAGAAGGTTGACAGAGGCGAACTTCGTCCACGGAGAAACGAAGGCACCATGACAACATGGCACGAAGAAAGGGAAGAGCCCGATTTAAGACAGTCGATACCAATTTCCAAGGCGCAATCAAAATCAAAAATGAACTTATGCTTACCTTGACTCTCAAATAACCCCGCACCGGTGATGCGCCAAGGCAACATCCCAACCGCATTCTGCAGTGTAACGCATATTTCGGTGGGCTAAGCCTTGGATTAGGCTGCTCGATGCAGTGTGCTGAGCATTGTCACAACGGAGCAATGATACGTCGGCGGAGGTTGCATCAATTGTGGTATGATATCACTCTGCGTTGTAGGAAAGATTTGCATCGGTGAGCAAGAGAGCTTCATCTCACCTGAATCGGCCCGGTGGAATTTTCAGAGATTTCCCTATATCAGAAATCGGCTGCATAAGATGCAACCCATCTAGGTACAGGCTAGACTATGGAGTCGTGGTATTCGTGCGAGACTGGTCTAACAAAGGAATTGGGTTGAACGGAGATGGAGAGAAGGGTTAGCAAGCAACGGCGATACTTTGGAGATTCCAGAAGGCCAATGGAAGGTACCGCAAAAGACAAGTGCCGCAAAAGCATGAGCCATCTGCCACGTTTAGGGCAAGTTCCTCGTCGGCTTCCTCGTGTCGAACACATCCTGACCATCAGTGCTGTAATGACTGATCAATCGTACTGCATTGGTTCATCTGATCCTGCCTGTCTCACATCTACCATCTGCTATGGGGTGGGCTGCTGCCGGCCCTTTCCAAGCGGCGGCTTCCCCAGGTCCTCCGCTTCGCGAGGCATCCTGATTTCCCGAGCTTCCATACTCGCTCTCAACGCTCCATCCTGTAGGCTCTCTGGGAGTTGTTTCGCCGCTCCCGCCTGCAGAAAAACTGTATGCCTTGCCGGTGTACCCCGGCGGCCGAGGCCAGACCTTTGGCAGTGCCGAGAGCACACTGCTCATGCTTCTATTCTTGGTGGTGGACTTTATGACAATTCGCACCTGCTCTTCTTCGGAGCTCTTACTGCTGCATCCTTCGGTTTGGGGCGTTTGACAAGGTCCATCGTATGTTAGAGGGTGAGAAGTCGCTCGGTACATGATGGCGTTACCAGCTGTAGAGGTAGTCATCTGGCGATCGTCTTCGCTCAGCTGAAGATGTCGCCTGCGTTTGGATCTCTGTCGACGCATGCAGAGAAATAGCAGGATCAGAGCTGTAAGACCAAATGTTGCGCCGACAGCAATGCCTGCGATTGCCCCAGGACCTAGAGATGGTCTGGAGATGCGTTCTGTCGAAGGCAGAAGAGTTTCGGTTAGTGGTGGAGCATCCGTCACCGATGTTGATCTCAATGGTGGGTTGCTGCTCGTTACAGGGCCAGCTCTTGCCGAAGTACCTTCGTCGGTATCGTGTGAAATGGAGCTTGCCGGTGTCGAGGATGACGCGAGAATACTGGAAGATGTGTCAGATAATGAGCGGACGCGAGTACTCTCTGGTGCGCCGAAGGTGCTGGAGGCAACTGAGGGCTGTTGGGGTTCAGAGGCTGTCAGCGTCGTTTCCGTGAAAGAAGGAGGGTCGGGGTTTATGAACGATGCAGTCTGCTGAGCGTCATCGCTGGAGATGGCCTTCTGGCTAGCCGGTGGAGATGGCACAACGGCAGGTACGCTGGAGACCGTATTCTCGATAGGCAGGGTCGTTGTTGTGAAGATTGTCGTCGTGAGAGTAGGCGTCTGAGTGACAGAGACGAACACAGGATTGAAGATGGTGACAGTGCGGACTATGGTCCCGCTCGCTACTATTGTGGTCGTGATCTCGACGGTGACGGTCGGAATTCTGTCGACTAAAGCCAGGGTCTTCCGTCGAACAGGAGCTGGGTGCGGTGAGAGCTGAGCGCCTTCGTGGTAGTACAAGTCGGCCGAGGATAATTCGGCAGTCGCCGCTTGATCAGACGCGATTGCATTTTCCGGGTCTCTCGCTGCAATATCTCGAGACTGGGACGCGGTGACGACGCTCGTCTCAAAGACCAGGGTGGGATTGATAAACGTCAAGGTCTGCTGAAGAGGCGCCCAGATCACCTCAGTTCGACTAGCAAGCTCGAGAATAACGGTCCGGACGATGGTGACGGTGGTGACTTGAAGCGATGCGTCGGCGGGCGGCCTATACTTCTTGATCAGCTTCAGTCTAGGCGCAGGAATTTCGTGCCTACGTCAGGTTCTGCCTCGTCCACATCTGGTGGAGAGCTATATCATCCTGCGGCTGCTCTTCCAATACGACTTCTCCGACCGAAGCGCTCTGAGTCTCCTGGGACGCTGGGGTCGCTGCCAGAGTCTGCAAGCACCCTTCATCCGAGAGTGAAGAAAGCGACGGCGCAACAGCAGAGCGGCATAGCGAGGCGAGGTTTGGGTTGACGACGGCCGACACCAAAAGAAGGTACATGAAGCGAAGCTTCGCCATGGCTGCTAGATGCATGACATATCCTCTGGTAACCTCGAGAAGCTGATTCAAGGAAAGACGTTCGAGGGAAGCAGGGAAAGAAGGGAAAAGAGAGAAAGAGTGGGTGATGTAGAAAGACAAAAGGTGAAGGAAAGGGTGGAAAGTGAGGTGTCTTGGACAGAGGTCAAGAAAGGTGTCCAAGGCAGGAGTGAAAGTGGGAGGGAAGGAGTGAAGCTCAATTGAAAATGAACGAATGTGGCAAGATGTCCAATTGGCCTTCCTTCCATGCTAGTTGCCACGCTCCTTTGGAAGAGAAGGAAGAGAAGCAGTCACATGAAGAAGAAGAAGCTGATACGGAGTGCCAGGGTCTTAGTGCAGCTGTATGCATTACGGAAACAACTCAACTGGCCTCGACAGCAGTACTTGGTGATGTCGTGAGACAGTAAACCACACAGGGGACCATGGACTCGGGCCTTCTATATCCGACCTCGTCAGTAGGTTCCGATGGCTGAGGATTTTGGAATCGGGCTTGACATGATGCTAGGGAAATTCATGTTGGCTTTCAAGGCAACGTATTCCCATTGCCGCTAGGCAAGAATTCTGAGGATGAGAAGAGTCTTTGCTATTTCATGGCCTGACTTCAGGCCCGAAGGTAGGCTTAACTCCAAGCAGAGCAATGGGCAGGAGGGCATTCACCCTGGATAAGGGTCTGTTGGGTGTAACACTCTTGATGCATTTCGCCTGCTCATCCCGAAGAATAAAGAAAGTATATAATGATTGGTGTAGGTGTCTATAACACGGCCAGAGATCGGGACGAGGCGAACTCGGAATCCAATGTCCTCAACAACCGAGAGTCAACATCCCCTGGAGACGATGCCTACCCGGCATGTAGGCACTCTGAGGAAGAGTCTGGAAAGCTTGAGAACGTGGCATGGCCAGCCATGTCTGGCTCTGTAGCAACTGGCTTGTCACAACAGTTTCAAAATAGAGACATTGCAAAAAGAAAGCGGTTCATTTGGTGCAACAAAAATATTCAGAATGTCGACAGCGCTTTGATCGTTGCCAACAAGCAAGTATTTGGCTTAGTAAGCACACAATTCTTGGGTGCCATGTACAGCTCCATGCCCCTCCATGTCAAAGTGACAAAGGCAACGACATATTAGTCATTAATAATAGAACGAACGGCACTGAACAAGGCACAACAGATTGAAAACAATCAGTTGAATAGGTAACTTTCAGAAATATTTGCCTGCCATTCTGCCAGACACTTTCCTCTCTGTCTGAACTTTACCTGTTCCGTGCCCCACGTACCTTCAGCGCAAAGATCGACGTTCCTTTCAGGATGCTAAGTAGGTGATGGCCAAGAAAACATGCCGTTGTCTTTGTCGAATATCCTTATCGCCCAAGCCTAGGATGAAGTACCTACTATCTATCCTTCCTAGCTCAAATCCACCAGAAGCATGAAGCATTTGTCGGTCACCATAGCCCAACAGTGACGGTCCGAGGACCGACAGCTCAAGCACTCCAATGGTCAAAGAGGAACTCAAGGTCAGTAGGCCAGCTGTGTCTCGGAATCTCCTGAAAGCGCTTAACGAGTGACTGGCGAATAACGCCGTTGCCCATCTCCCGGTACTCCGACTCTGAAGGCGACTCGTGGTCCTTGGCGTAAGGCAGTCTTACCCATCCGTTCATGTAGTCTGGGCCCGAGCCAATCTTTTCCATGGCATAGAAGTGCTGCTGGTGGACTGTCGTCGAGTGGCTGCATTCCATCGCCCGGGCAGCAAAACGCATGTTCACCATGGCCTTGACCAAAAAGTCGTGAGCGGCGAAGAATCGATCGGGCATCAGGTGCTTGGTGCGATCAGCAAATAGCCTGTACCACGAGAAGTCGTAGTTGAACTGGCAGCCGAGCAGCGCGTCCTTGAGGCCTCGCTCCATGGAGAAGGGGGCAAAGGTGGCCTTATGCCAGGAGACGATGCCAGCGAGCTGGAGTTCCTTCTCGGGCTTGCCGTTGAGACCGGCGGGCTGCTCGACGAGCTTGACGAGGATGTTGCGAGGCTCGAGGTCCATGTGGCAGAGGACGATGACCTTGCTGAGTTCGTGGATGAGTTTGCACGTGAGGATCATGGGGCTCATCGGGGTATCTGCACCGGGGAAATTGACGTAGACGCTGCCGTCTTCTTGCTCCTCAAACCTGGTGGCGGAACAGTGGTGATGGGCGGGGCGGTACTCGTTGGCGTAGCGCTGGAGAAGAAGGCGGACGCGCTTCAACGTCGTTGACCGCGGAGGCCAGGCCGGGCGTTGGGCCAAGGGGGTCGGCTCGGGAGTCTTGGTGAGGTTGAGGATAGTGGTGGCGGTGTAGTTGATGTTGCCGGACAGCTCGACGGCCTTGAGCGCTTGTTCGATATCGTCCTCGGAGAATCCGTGTTCCTTCTGGAGGGTTTCCAGTGCGGTGACGAGCTGGTCCATGATGTGGCCCTTCGTCTTGGGCGTGAGGGAGGCCCAGACCTTGTCTAGGGTGACGGTGTTGGGGATGTGCTCCGTGACGATGTAATCAATGTCGCCGTCATCCTTCCCCATGATGCCAACGCGAATGACGCGAGGGACCAGATTCGGAAGCCAAGTGCGAGCAATCTCCTGGCAACGGCCGCCCGTGTCGAAAGTGGAAACGTTGCCGATGGGGTTGGTCGCGTTGACGAAGACACCGGCGTCTAAGGGGCTAGGGCCGAACTTGACATCGATGAAGAGCTGCTTGGGCACGCCGGGCTTGGGTGGCTCGTCAAAGGTGAGCTTGTAGGAGCGGCGGGGAATCATGGGATCGGGAAAGCGGATTGCTTCAATGTTGGAGGGTTTGGCGCCCCAGAAGATGCCGGGGATCATGTCGTCGAGGGCTTTGCGGTACTCGACTTCGCGCTGGTTGATGTTTACGCCTGCTAAGTTGGCGAGCGTGGAGCGCAGCTTGGGGTCAGTCGGGACGACCATCTTGGATGCTTTGGCGACGAGAGGTGGTGGGAGCTGATGGTGAATTGGATGGCCCTCTCTCGGTGTGTCTGTATTTTGGGGATGGGAAGGTGAGCGTTTCATGAGTTTGTAGGTGAAAGTGATGTTCACGGTTGAAAATCTCAGACAAGCTGCAGTGAGAAGGCACCTCAGGGCAGGATGGTGTAAGTATACCCGATGGCTGATGAGCGTGAGAAAATCAGAACTCAGCCCGAGACAGAAAATTGAGAGACGCCGAGATGTTTTGGAAGAGGCGAAGAAAGTTTGGGACGGCCGTGATATGGTCAAGTCGAAGAAGATGACAGTAAACAGGCGCAAGAAAGACAGGAGCCTATCCGTGTCCCAGAGTGAAGGACGCAGGCATCAGGAGTATTCGTCGAGGGCTTACCTCAGGCACCAGGAAGAGCAAATGGAGCGAAGGTCCGTATATATATGAAGCAGGTCGACGTGTATGCGGGAACTTGGGCGACGGTCTGATGCATCTTCTTGGAGGAATCAACCAAGTCTCACACTAGGCTTTCTCACGCGAGGCTATCTACTTTTAGTAGATAACCCGAGTCCATGTGGGAATTGCTCTCATTGAAATCGGGCTATCGCACCAGATGATGTTTCCCGTGATAATGAAATCACTATTCTAGCCTCACTTTGGAGATTTATCCGTTGTTAATCGGCGCCTCTGAGCAACCGTATGGCCACATGGATTTGGCATGTCCATCGTACCTTGGCCGAATACACCAGTCGACGGTCTTCTCGTAGAAGTCAGGCGGGTATTCACTCTGATGAGTACCCTATACGTGTAGGCAGTGGGTTGAGAGTACTACCGCAAGGGTTCTGCTCCAGCATCAGCGAAGGCAACACTAATAAGACGGGATTGGGAGACATTGCGGAAACGGTCTAGGTCAATGTGATTTGCTCTTGCGCGGTCCCGTTTGCCATCGATGAGGAGCCAAGACAGCGTTTAGTGACATGACTGGTGAGACTGGCTTCGCACACGGGCAGGCGCATGCAATCTGGTGCCATTGGGACTTTGAGTTTATTCATGTTAGGGAGTTGCTGCGTTTGCATCCACACAGTCTGTTAAAAGGAGCATAGCGTATTAAATACTGGCATGGAAGACTGCCAAAGTAAGATACGGGCGAAAAGGATCTTGGAATAACAATCAATGGGTGCAGAAACAACGTACAATGTACGTTATTGAATAAGGTAAAGTACGTACTTGAGGTAAGGTAGTGGTGAAGAGATCCATGTCCACGACGGGGTGAAAGCAAATCGTACACAAGGTGTCGCCGCAGGATGCCACGCGAGCCAACCGTGCCACCGTCGTCAAATGCTGACCAAAAAGATGTGGGCGCAATTGACAGTTACCCGTCCCGCTGTCATGCAATCGCACCGTTCACAACATGGGCTGACACAGCAAGATCTGGCCATGGCAATGGCCCGATGGAAACTCGGCGCATTGTTGGAAATGAAGCTACTCTCATTGGTTGAAAAGATCTCTAGCCAATGGTAAATTAGCTGATGACCTAGAGCAGGGATCACCCACCATGATGGGCAGGAACCGTGACGTCGGGACTTGGCCCCTCCGTCCCTGCATCGCAGATGCTTAAAAGGACCCCTCTGCGACTGGCCTTTTGGATGTTGTTTCCCCTTCGGTACAGACCAATTCACTCCAATTCAACTCTTACATCGCTCTTGGACTTTTCATCACTCACAACCAACTCCCAACTTCTCTTCATCAACCTCACCTTCCCACCCAACAATCACAATGACTGTCACCAAGGCTTCCACCTGTTGCGGCAAGAGCGCCGAGTGCGTCTGTGGTATGTACTTCTCATCCCCTGAACCCCCCAACTTCAACATCATCTCGACATCTTTTTCATACCCCCGCCTCTTCCACATTATCATCTCCAGATAATCCACGGACCGGCAATGTCACTCCCAAAACTTCGCAAGCTGACCCTTCTTTGTTCCCAGCCCAGCAAGCGACCTGCTCCTGCGGCAAGCAGTCTGCCCTCCAATGCACCTGCAGCAAGGCCGCCTCCGAGAATGTTGTCGCCGGACCCCGCTGCTCGTGCAGAGCCCGTCCCGTTGGCGAATGCACTTGCGACCGTGCCTCCACAGAGAACACTAAGCCATCCGGCGAGACCTGCTCCTGCGGATCTCGTCCCGCAGGTTTGTGACATCATTCCCTGTCTCTCCACATGTTCGCACGATTGCTAACATCCTCTTAGATGCCTGCACATGTGATAAGGCAGCCTCTACCGTGTATGACCGGTCAGAGCATGAGACCGACTTCACTACCCGCCAGTAGTTCTCTTCACCCTGCAAAACTACACGGAGCATTGGGATCGGCGTTCAAGGGTCTCTGGGATTGGTTGTACGGCACGACGGCGACGGGCCCGACGGTGGAGGACAAGGCGTTAATGGTTTATGATGGCGTGGTTGCTTTGGAGCGGACGGTGGGATCTGGCCGATAGGACTGGCCAACAGCCAACATCAATACCACACAAATTTTCGACATTTCCTACTGGATTCCGGACCCTATTGTACGCGGGGAGCTTATCAGCCTCTTCATATTGCTGTTCTACGTCATCCTTCGCGCAGTCTTGATCGCGTTGCTCTGCATCTCGCTATGGCACTTCTATTGGCGATTCTTTTCTGGATACGACTTCTCGCCACGACGCATCGGGAAATGGTTTAGAGACGTTCGGAGCCGATTTCGACGTTGGCAGACAGCGAAACGGGAGCTCTGGACATGGCGACTGAAGTTTTGGATGTATTGGGCGAATCCGATTCGCGTCTAGAAGATTCCCGTCATCTTCGCGGCATTCTATAGTACGAACTACTTCGGCAAGGGCTTCTTCAAGGTGTTGGACTCGTTTGTGAGCGAACCCAAGGTACTGGAGGCAGTCTCGACTGTTGAGCCTGGAGAACTCAAACCTGAGGAGCCCGAAAAGGTCGAAGAGTCTGAGAAGGTAGAGAAGCCTGAAGAGGTAGAGGAGCCTGAAGAGGTAGAGGAGCCTCCTGCGCGACCTCCAAACCAACCTCAGAATGGCGGCGGCGGGAACAGGAGGAACAAAGCGAAGAACAAGAAGAATAAGAAGAAGGGAAAATGATGAGAGAGTTACCTCGACCAAATCAATGATTGGCAGTGACGACATGTATTTGGGTCGAGATTGATATCCACGCGACAGCGGTCTGCGGACACAGGAAAATAGCGAGAACAGTTATTCTTCTCATTAGCTTGTGACCTGAATCAACATGGCATTCATTGACAACGCCTCCTTCGAGTTGGAGGTGACTGGGTTTCGTTCGCTACAGGCTACTTAAGTATGGCATGCTTGGTTAAATGTCCATGTTGCCGAATACGAACGTCAACTTTGGCGCGCTTCATCGACTTACACACTGACCATAAAGACGCGGCTCTGTCAAAGCGGCCCCAAACAATAGGCTGGCAGACAAGATCAACAGCGCAGTGTGTACGAGTCAAGACACAGTAAAACGAGAATATGGGCTTCGGAAACAAAACACAGGAGGCCGATTCTTTTGATCAACTGGGCACAATTTCGCGCCAAATGGAAGAGAAATGAAAGCCTAGTAGTCGTGGCGTGGGGATTCTGGGGGCATCGGCAGACGACGCGAGGTTTCCCCGACTCACCGGAAGGGAAGGACCCACCAGTGCCACCCTGGATTTTTTGAATGATTTTTTTTGTTGCTCTTGCCTTTTTCTGCCGGAAATCTGGAAGAAAAGAGAGCAGGTGCGACCGGGCGGTCGGGAGCTCTATGATTGAACGCAGCTTCCCATTGGAACAAAATTGGACCCGGCCCCGGGAGCTCGGGCCACGGCTGCGCAAAAAAACATCCCAGAAGGTCAGGTACCCATGGAGGTATCCACCCGGATCGCACTAAAAGGCAGCTGCGCAAGAACGAACTGGGCCTTGGGGCCGCCAGCAGCGCAGCACAGCTACGGTAAGCCCGCGCTGGAGAGCCACAAAGCGCCACCCCTGCTTGGTCAGAATTCCAGAGCCCAAGAAAATAAAGCTGCACCTTCCGGTCGCGTCACTTCCGCCCTATCCTCGAAACAATTTCTTTCTCCCCCCCCCAAGTCCAGAACAATCCTCCTCTTTTGACTCTTCTCTTTTCAAAGTCATCATCTCGATTACATCAATTCGCACCACAAAGAATCGATTCTTCAATTGTTTTCTGCGAACTCTTTCGTCTAACCAAAACCCGTCCCCCATTACACGCGTTTTATCGCCAAGCACGCTCCTACCCATAACATCACATCATATCATCACATCACCTGACGATCATGCCTCCCAAGGCCGCCAACAAGAAGGCCGCTGCGCCCAAGGCTGCCGCACCGAAGAAGGCTGCCAATACCACCAAGAAGGATGCTGAGACTACCAAGAAGCCTGCCGCGAAGCCCGCTGCGAAGAAGGAAGCTACCACCAATGGCGCGACTGCCGCCTCCAAGAAGCGCAAGCTCGCCGAAGAGGAATCAGAAGTCGACGAGTCCGAGGCCGAGGAGCCCGCCAAGGTCGAGAAGCCTGCCCCCAAGAAGAACACCAAGAAGGCCGCAGAGCCTGTTGTGAAGAAGACCAAGACTACTACTGCCGCCGCCGCCCCCAAGAAGAAGGCCGCTGCTGCCGAGGAGACCGAGGATGAGCCCAAGGCCGCAAAGCCCGTCAAGAAGGCCGCTGCGAAGAAGGCCGAGCCCAAGAAGACTGCCGCCGCGAAGAAGGCTGACGCCAAGCCCGCCGCCGATAGCAAGAAGCGCAAGTCAAGCGAAGAGGAGACGGAGGACGAGAAGCCCAAGGCGAAGAAGTCAAAGACCGACAAGGCCGAGGTCGACAGCCAGGCCACAGAATCGGCCAAGGCCACAGAATCTGCGGATGAAGAGCCCGCGGCTGTGAAGCCTGCGAAGCCTACCAAGAAGGCCGCCGTCGCTGCCCCCAAGCCTCCCCCGGCCCACCCCCACAAGATTGGCAAGAAGATCAACTCTGCACCGACCCAAATCCTTGATGTATATGTCTTCGGCGAGGGATCTTCTGGCGAGCTCGGTCTCGGCAGCAAGAAGCTTGACGGCAAGAAGATTGTCGACGTCAAACGCCCGAGACTGAACCCTAAGCTTGATGCCAAGGACGTCGGTGTTGTCCAGATCGCCTGCGGTGGCATGCACGTCGCTGCCCTGACCAAGGACAACAAGATCCTCACTTGGGGTGTCAACGACCAGGGCGCTCTTGGACGCGACACCAACTGGGATGGAGGACTCCGTGACGCTGATGCCGAAGAGGAGGAAGACGACGAGGATGACTCCGGTATCAACCCTCACGAGAGCACACCCACTGCCCTTGACGCGGCGCAATTTGCACCCGATGCCAAGTTCACTCAGGTCGTCGCAAGTGACAGCGCCACCTTTGCCCTGACTGAGGATGGCAGAGTTTACGGATGGGGTACATTCAGAGTAAGTGGTTGGGCAGCAGCATGAACTTGAGGTGATAGAAAGCTAACCTACCTCAGTCGAGCGACGGTATTCTCGGGTTCACCGACAAGATCCAGATCCAAAAGACTCCCGCGTACCTCCCCACATTGAAGAACATCACGGCCCTCGCTGCTGGTTCCAACCACATCCTGGCTCTCGACGACAAGGGCGTCGTTGTCGCTTGGGGCTGCGGCCAGCAGAACCAGCTCGGACGCCGTATCATCGAGCGCAACAAGCTTTCCTCCCTTATCCCCCAGAGCATGGGTCTTCCCAAGAACAAGGTCGACCGCATCGCTTGCGGATCCTACCACAGCTTTGCCCTTGGCAAGGACGGTGCGGTCTGGGCTTGGGGTCTCAACAACTTTGCCGAGACTGGTATTGAGATGGGTGCTGGCGAGGATGACGCGGTTGTTCTGCGTCCTACCATTGTTGAGTCTCTCAAGAACTACAAGATCAAGCAGATCGCTGGTGGCGAGCACCACTCTCTTGCCTGCACCGAGGACGGCAAGCTCTTGACCTGGGGACGTCTGGATGGCCACCAGGTCGGTATTCCTGTCGAGGAGCTTGATGCGGAGAGCGTCATTAAGGATGAGAGCAACAACCCCCGCATTCTCTCCAAGCCTACTGCTGTCGAGGGTAAGTCCATCTTGTCTGTCTGTTGCTGAGTGTGGCTGACATCCGTTCCCAGATATTGCCAAGTGTGTATATGTTGCCGCTGGTGTCGACAATAACTTCGCCATTGACGGCAAGGGCGAGGCTCACTCATGGGGCTTCTCTGCCAACTACCAGACCGGTCAGGGCACGACTGAGGATATCGAGACCCCGACCACCATTGACAACACTGCCGTCCGTGGCAAGAAGCTAGTCTTCGCTGGTGCCGGTGGCCAGTACTCTATCCTGGGTGGTGTTGCTGACGTCCCCAAGGTCAACGGTTTTGCCCCTCAACCAGCTACTGGTGGCTTCAGACCTGTCTTCTAAGTCCCTCGGCAAAGACTTGTACCGTGACGACGCGGCGGCGAGTTTCAAATGACAGCAAGCGGATACGACTGGCTTCTACAAGAACACGGAATGATAAATGAGCAGCGCCGCAACCACCAGAAAAGAAGGGTGGACTCGACACGTGAGTCGAGTCGGCGTACCAGTTCCAATTGCGATACTTTTTTCCTCGGTTCATTCACAACATGAGCCATCATCACTCGCGGCACGATACATTTCGTGCGACAGTCTGAATTTGACGAGTTTCCGATTTTTTCTCAAGTGTCCCCATGAGCGGACTAATAGACTTTTCATTCCCAACAAGAGCGGCAGTGAAGCTCCGACTTGGCATGGACAAATGGGCAGGTATAGAAACGGCCTCGAAGGGGAGTCAAACTTATGATACCAACGAGGATTTTTCTGCTTGACAAGGCCCCCTCCTATTGTGTGCCTAGCGGAGGATCATCATCGCCGCGGAGGCTGTTTGGTTATGGAGACTTGTGGTAGTCTCCTGTAATACTACGCTTGGTCTCGAGAAGTTTTCAAATGTCTGATCCTTCTTTTCTCTACACTTGATGTGTATATTACGAGAGGATCTCTGGGCCCAGCATTATGCATTTGTATCTTTTAGCAGCATGGAAAACGGGAGGGATAGGAGGCATTGGACTATCAAAAGAATTATTTCTGGCTTCGTCTGAACATGATTATAGTATTGTACAGTGACGTGAAACATCCGTCGGCCTTTGGCTTCCGCCTCGCCCCTAAGTAGCCGTGGGCATGCATGCTTTCTGTCTCATTGTTGCCTCCATCGTCTATCGTGGCTTTTGGACTCCCGTCGGTTTCTGCGCCTCCTCTAGACTCCCACAGTGTAGTGCCACGCGCATTGCGCCATGCCCTAAAGGATAAGTAGCTGTAAAGCACGCTTCTGCAGTCTCTGTTGCCCTTATCGAGTCCTTCTCGTGTAAACTACGTTATCCCCTCTGTCTTTAGTGTACGTTTATCTTCCATGTCTCCTCGTGTCTGCGCCTTCAACCCTTCAACCCGGCCGCCGCCTTGGCCAGAGACCCGCCGCTGCCCCTAGAGCTGAAGATGCCCATGATACCGAACCCGACGTAAAACAGCGCCAGCGGGTACGCCACGAGCCCGCGCATGCCCCTCATCCGTCCAACAGCGCAAAACATACCCGAGGCGGAGTACGTGCACCACAGGATCGCCATGGTGGTGAATACAATGCCGAGGGGCGTGTCCATGGGCATGAAGATGCCGAAGACGCTGGTGGCGACCAGGGGCAGGAGGCAGTAGCCCAGCACGGAGGAGGAGCGGGTGAAGGTGAGGGTCGAGGAGAAGTGGCCTGCGGCGTTGCGGGATGGGTGGTCGTGGGTGTCCGGGGCGCCAGGGTAGCCTCCGCCGACGGAGGAGACGGGGCCGCCGTATTGGGGTGCGGAGGGGGCTGTTGGGGGGTGGGCGTCGGTGGGTGTCATGAGGGAGAGGATTATGTGGAGGGAGGTGCTTCCTAGGAGGGCGAGGCCGTAGATGTAGCCGAAGTGGATTTTGCCTGAGAGGAGGAGGAAGGTTCCGTACTGGGGAGGGGGAGGTTAGCTTTATGTTTGTAGTGGAGGGAAAGTCGAAGTTGGAAACAACGTACGGAGAGGACGAAGAGTAAGGGACCGAAGAGGTCTGCGTCGTCCATCAGGTGTTGATCGATCCGGCGGAAGGGATTGAGCACGGCCAGAGTCTGTAAGTCACCGCAGGTCAGCCACAACTTCTCTCCATGTCCACGTCCATCTGAAAGGGGTGAAAGCAGAAAGTCCCCCATGCTTTCCACACAGCCCGCTCACGCATCACACCAAGAGAAAGACGCACCTTTGCCTGAATATGTCCAAAGTTGACACCAAGCTCCTCGAGCAGCGGCGGCTCGCCATCGTACCCCTCGGTCGAAAAGGCGGCTAGCCAACCCGTGCGCAGGCCGCCCTGCTCGCCCATGCGACCCGACACACCAACACCGCCGCCGGGAGGTGCTCCAAAGGCTGCCGCACCGCCGAAGCCGCCTGCCGCGGCGGGTTGGGGCGCTCCGTAGCCATACGAGGCCTGTTGTGGAGTCGCGTGGCCCGAGACGGCGCCGGCTGGGGAGTAGGAGGAGGGGTAGAACTGGAGGTTTTGGGCGCCTCCTCCTCCGCCGGCGCCGGCGCCTCCTGCGCCTGGGCCTGGGCCGTAAGATTGTTGGGGTTGGTAGTAGTTTGACATTGTTGTTTGTGGGAATTCAAGGTTGGTGGAGGTTGGTCTTAGGTAGCTTGGTTTAACCCCCTTGTCTGGAGTAGGCGCCTCGATTCGGTTCGTGTCGTCGTCGATTCGTGGTAGGGATTGATGCGAATCTGGTTTCAACAGATTGTAGGTAGGAGCTCGTCGTCGGTCGTGGGGCTCGAGAGCCGTTTTGCGCCGGGGTTGCGAGGCGCGTTTGGTTGCGTGAGTGGACAGGTGGTACCTGGAGCTGGCGATATTGGAGACGTAGCTTCTTTCGAGGTTCACCACGTCAGCCAGGGCTGGACGCTGGAGCTGTAAAGTGGGGCCGTGAAGAATGCTTTGTGCCTGATGGTCGAGGCATAAATACTGGGCCAGTCAGGCACATATTGTTATCGATAGCCCGACTCGATAAGATAGCTGCTCGGCTTATCGATAACATCTGATCATCAGACTGTTTCCTTCGGACCTTTCTTGGAGCCCCCGGACCGGCATTCCCAGTTCCCCAGATCTTCGGTTCTATTATTTCACGAACACATTATGCATCAGCAACATGAGATGAACGACAGCAAGAGCTATGCAATGATGCAGAAGTCGCCAGATCATGTCATTATTCCGCCGAGATTGCAAACGTCACGCAATTATGTTTTTATTCTGCCAGCACCAACTACAGCGATTGCTTACTTCAAGAAAGCGAACAAGTTATAACGGCAGCGATTTCCTCTTCCATCTAGCGTCAAACAAAGCGCAAATTTCTGCCCGCCAGATTGGGCAAGCAACTGTTCCAGGGATGTTCGTCCGGGGATGGACGCTTCTTCTGCCAACCCACACAAACCCAATCCCCGACTAAACAATATGCATGTGGGCAGATTGCGGCAGTTTTCTGCTGCTAGCCTGCTGCTGACTCTCTTCACTGGAGCCCCTATCAATCCATGGCATCGGTAACTGGCCACGAGGTGACTCCGCCAAGCATCACGGCAGTGGACTTCATCTCCACTCAGCCTACGCAGAATTTGAACAGCATCGCGAGGTCAGAGCGTGCGCTCACCATTATCGAAAAGTTTCTCATCGCCTTTATCTCATTTCAACTTACTCAAGATGTGAATGAATAACCGTCTGACCCTCGGGCACGGTTTGTTCGAAGAGCCGAACACTTCGTGTCGTGCCATTGCTCAACTGAGTCGTGTGCCTGCTCAATACGATTTAAAGCCCTAGTCAACGTTCCATCGAGGCCGTGTACGGCTGCTCTCCGAGATGGTGGACTGAGATCTTCCGGTCGAGGCTCTCCGGAGCCCGAGGGAGGGCGCGAGCTGCTTTTCCGTTGGGTCGCTGGTGTTGCCGTCCCCATTGTGGCTCACAACCGCGTATTACGTTCCTCAACAACAACCTCGACCGCATCCCCAGTAAGCCCAGGGAACCCCTCGTTCATGCGGTCCTGGGAATCTCTCGATTGCCGGGATTTCTATCCCACGGAGATGTCGATGGATCCTACCTCGAGGCCAAGTCTCCATCAATGAGGCGGCCCTACGGTGGTGGAGTTTGTTTTCCACCAACGGGAGGACGGTTTGCCTTCTAGCCCAATTTGACAAGGGGTCACTGGTGGTCGCGAATAGACTGCGACGGCCTGGTTGGTAGCTGTTTATTACGACGGTATAGCGTTACACTCATCAGGACTTAGACTGACAGCTCTCAAAGACGAGGGCTCCCTGTTGACGATGCGAAGTTTGTATTTAAGCTTGATGGCAGCCGGATAATCGGCAAGAGTTGATCTCTATCGATCAGCCTTCACTGCTGCAGCCACTCATTCCTTACCTTACCATTGGTCTTTTAACAGCAAACATGGGTCTCTACAAGTTCCTCCTCGCCATCCTCCCGGTCGTCTTGGCTGCCGACCTTTACGTCGCGCCCGCCGGCTCAGACAGCGCTGCCGGCACTCTGGCGGCTCCTCTCAAGTCCATTCAGGTCGCCGTCGACAAGGCCGTTGCTGGCGACACCATCTACCTCCGTGCCGGCACGTACTCGCCCACAACTAACATCAAGATCACCAAGAGCGGTACCTCCGCCAAGCCCTACACCCTGACGGCTTACAACGATGAGGCCGTCACCATCGACGGAGAGGCCTTGCCCGGTACCCCTGGCGCTCTCGACTCCTCCCTCGCCAACGCCGACCGTGGTGTCCTTCACATCGAGGGAGCCAACTACTGGAAGTTTTACAAGTTGACCATTATCAACGGTCCCTACGGTGTCTACCTCCGTGACGGATCCAACAACTACTTTGAGCGCATCGTCACCCACGACAACTACGAGACGGGCTTCCAGATGCAGGGCACCCTGAGCAACAACCAGGTAATCTACCTTGACTCATACCGCAACCGCGACCCCCGCAAGAACGGCGAGAGCGCCGACGGCTTCGCATGCAAGGAGGGCTCCGGCACGGGTAACATCCTAAAGGGCGCTCGTCTGTGGGAGAACGTCGACGATGGCCTGGACCTTTGGTGAGTTCTGACCTCTCCACAACTCCCAAACTCACCTAAACACCACTAACAAACACCAAACAGGGAGTTCAAGTCCCCCGTCACCATCATGGACACCCTCTCGTGGGGCAACGGCGTGAACCGCTGGGGCTTCACCGACTTCCAGGGCGACGGCAACGGCTTCAAGCTCGGCGGCGGCGACGCCGCCGACATCGGCTCGGCCAACCACGTCATCTCCAACAGCATCGCCTTCAACAACGCGGCCAAGGGCTTCACCGACAACAAGCAGCCCGGCAACTTCCAGTTTACCCGCAACACGGCCTACAACAACGGCGCCGTCGGCTTCCAGACCATCACGACCAAGTCGACGCTCAAGAGCAACGTCGCCGCGCTCAACTCTGCGACCACGGCCAAGTCTGGGCAGACATCGCTCGTCAGCGGCACCACGAGCAGCGGCAACTCGTGGGACGGTAGCGCCACCTGGTCTGCCTCGAGCTTCAAGAGCGTCGATGTCAGCTTGGTTAAGGGCGCGCGCCAGGCCAACGGCAAGATTGTGGCTAGCAACTATTTGATTCCTACCTCTGGCGAGGCTATTGGTGCCACTACCACCTGGTCCTAGATTTCGGTTTCACTTCTTGGAACATAGTATTTGACGCCGTAAATAATTCATCTGTACATATTTAGACTGCCATAGAGCGGAGTACATAAACCAATTAGTACATACTATATTGCCTATCAGACAATCTTGCATTATTCCGTGAATGCCTTTGTAGGCTTTGGACTTGTTGCTGTTCAGTCCTAGAGACGAAGACAATGCAACATGATCCTGGACATTCAGGTCGGCACTGGGCCGTTTGCGTTGGCAACGGCAACGTAACGATCGTGGACTATCTGGGACACCTCGGAGTCTTGCTGTCTATGTATGTGACTACCACTGTCCTCTATCGTGCTGCATGTCCAATTACACAGTCAAAGAGCATAGAAAATCCGAAGTGAAAATAAGGTTCCAGACGTGTGTAGTACCGTCGAGACGTTGAAAAAAGCACAAGCGCAACGGAACATTTCGACGATGGACTCAAACTCAAAATCAAGACCCGCGCTTTGCTGACAAGGGGAATCAATTGCTCATTTCCCACTGCATTGCAGGTGGATGACAAGCCACACGGCTGAAACCAGTAATGTGGCTTGACAGAGGATATGTGGCGCAGCGTGCACGGAAGGCCCGAGAAAAAAGTTGTCGGCGCCCGGTCAAACCCGCACTTCCGAAGCGCAGGAAGCTCGGAATTTCTCGTCGGCAATTTCCATATCGTCGATGGATTTTTCTGGATAGGTTGCAAGTCATCCTTACGCCCAGCGTTCCCCGTACCAGCCAAGCTGTACTGAACACCGCGCGACATCGCATCTCGGGTCCCTCTGCACCGTGCGATCATTCAAAAAGCATCCATTCGTCTACTTCAACAATCACCTCTATACCGCCCTTTGCCCAGAGGCTACTAATACAGCAAACATGGTGAGTCCGCCTCGAGCTTTCGCCTCCTCCCCTCCGCGCGCCCCCCTTCCAACCCGAATGCGCCACCGGAGCTCCTGAACCTCCTACCGTACCGCGAGCCTCAATTCGACTCGACTAACCCCCGTAACCCATAGGCCTACCGCCTCATCACCCAAGTCGTCTTCGTCGGCACCCGCATCGTCGGCCGCTCCTTCGCCGCAGCCTACAAGCAAGCGCAGGCCTCCTCCGAGTACGCCCGCGCGCAAGCCAAGAACGGCAACGCACCTGCCGGCACAAAGGGCGGCGCCGGCTCCGGCGGCTCAGGCATGACCCTCGACGAGGCATGCAAGATTCTCAACGTCGAGGCTCCCGGCAAGAACGGCGCGGACGCCAACGTAGGAGAGGCCATGGAGCGCTTCAAGAAGCTGTTTGACGTCAACGATCCTAAAAAGGGCGGCAGCTTCTACCTGCAGAGCAAAGTGCTCCGGGCGAGGGAGAGGTTGGAGAAGGAGATTGGGCCGCTGGTGGAAAAGGAGGAGATTGAGGCTGAGGTGAAGGAGGGGTTTAAGCCCAAGATTTACAAGGACCGGTGAACTGCGACCGCGGGGGCAGCGGCAGCGGCAGCAGCAGCAGCAGAGACACCGTTAGAAGGAGGACGCTGAGGCGACTACGGATGACGAAAAAGCCTTTTCTGCGACGAGCGATCTTGGGGCCGGGCCAGACCAAATCGACTGTGTACGAACGGACCCGACGGAGGGATGGGAGGGGGTATGACCACTGAGAGTGTGCTCTGCCGAGAGCTACTTGAGTGTCAACACACTGTATTGGAACAAACTTCACTCGACTCCGCATGGCATGGCGTTTTTAGGAGGTGGAATCTCTTTTTTTTGTTCATTTTTTTTGGCGCGCGCACTCACGGCACCGCCAGCATTGGCATGGTTAGACGATAAAAAGGGGAGCTTTGCGCGAAGAAAATATGTTAATACTACTGTACTATAAGAGATGAGGGAAAGAGAAGAAGAAGGAGAGACTAGCGAATCTGGACCAGTGACCAGAGGTCTCTAGAGAATGCAAACGCCGTGTTGCTACTCGCACATACATTCGCAACTTCAGGATTTACATGCTACTGCAACACAGTGTTCATCACGATATCACAATCATTCCGGTCTCCCTCTGTCAACTTGTACCTTGTGCCTGGCACAATCATTTCAAGTAGCAATCAACCGTCCATCTCACTCCTCCGATAATCGGCATACCTTTTCCTCCTCCGCCTCACTTGTCAACTTCAGCCCTCAAAAAATCTGACCATCAACAAAAGTTGGATCGATTGTGATGATCAGTCCTCAGTAATTGCCCAGAGGCGGATTCGAACCGCCGTCAACACGGATCGCTGTATAGAAGAACCACAACGTATCATCCTAACCAACTAGACGATCTGGGCGAATTGAAGCTTGCGAATATCTCCTTGGTGGGGGAGGAAGCTTGGTTGACAGATCCGCTCAGAAACGGGTCTATGGACTCAGTTTGAGGTGGAGACGAGATGCGTGAGGGCTCACGCGTGGTGGAGTAGGTGGGTGTCATTAAGGCTGCACGAAGGACTCGTGTAAGTAAGACCTGAGAGATGGGCGTCAGCAAGTGTTCTTCAGTGGATTGTTTTTGAAATGCCCATCGTTTTGCTGAACGATATTTGACTGTGACGAAACCTAATATGATGACATGTCTGCGCTTGAGCGGCGGACCTAAAGGTAGAGAGAGATGACAACTCTCGATACAAAAGTAGAATGCAAAGTGCATGCAACGGACGACACCATTTTCTCATTCGATCCGTCGCAAACTGTCATCTCTCGTCGTCCGCTGGTTTCCGTGCAACTTCCGACTCTCGCCTGTTCCTTCACCTGCGAGGCGTCTGACTGTTGACCATGTTCAATGCCTCAGACAGATCGTCCGTCCTAGTCCTTTCCATGTACTCTACCCCATTCTCATTCTGTATCTGGACACCTCCGGCCCCAGCGCCGCGAGCGCGAGCAGCCTTTCGCCGTTCAACGACCAGCCACCGCGACGCACCCACAACAGCCCGGAAGATATCCACAAAGTTGAGCGCATCCTTGAGGGCTCTCCACTGGAATCCCCGCGCAGAAACGCCGCCCGTCTCGCCCACAGACTGAGAAGAACCATCTGCAGCGTCCCAGACGCCGCACGTGTCTTGCCCCGCGTACGTCGCCTCCGGCTGCTGAGGCCAGACTTCCCGACTTCGTACCGGGATAATGCGCGACGTGGAGCTCTGGTCGGTCCCCTGCCCTTCTTCTTCGCTGACGTTGCATCCCGTCTTTGTCGGTGCCGCCGGGTGTTTGTATATGGCGTAGGGGTAGGCCCAGAGGTGCAAGATTGCGACGGCTGCCATTTCGAAGCAGAGGAGCGTGTTGGGGATACCGACTGCCCATGATGGGTGGGAGATGTACGCTGTTGGTTTCAATGGGCCGCCGTCGCCTGTGAGAAACTCGAAGACGCCCTGTCGCTCTTGTGTCAGCATATATTAATAGTTTCTTCAGGCCCGAGGTAGTCGCCATCAACCCTGGATGTAAGGGCGATGTCTGCACTTACTGTCTGAAGGTAAAACAGAAACACCACCAGCTTGATGGCGAGAAACTTGAGCAGAGGTTGATGCTGGGACATCTCCTTTGAGGTTTGGTGGTAGAATTGCAAAAGACACATCATCGCCGTGACGAGGGAAAGGATTTCAATCACCATGACCTGATTTTTGGTCAGTCTCTCCAGTCTCTCCAGTCTTTCCAGCCCTCAAGTACTTCGTGGTCTTGCAGTCATCACCTACCCAAATTTTGGCATGGCTGGGATCTTTTGATTCCTTGCAATACACATCCGCTGCTTCCGTGATGCATTTTGTGAGAGCGCCAAAGAACTTGACGGTGCAGAACTGGAAGACACCGAACCAAATGATCTAAAAAAAAATTGGTCAGATGCAGGCTCTGCAACGAATATCCCTTTTTCTATAAGATGCAGTCACTCACGTTGAACCATTTAAGCCCATCCTCGGTCTGTCCCGTTTTGTTTCTTCCCACGTGTTTGACAAAAAACCGGGTTGGATTGAGCCACTTCTTCGGTTCCACCAAGTTGAAGACCCGGCGTAGCGTATTCAAATCGGGGTGCAGCAGCTGGCAAAGCAAGAGGAAGAATGAGGCAATGACCAGGGACTCGTAGAACTCGTAGACGCTTCCGATATAGACATGTTTCTTGTAGAAGATGATGCTTAAGGTGCAAGCAATGGAGTAGACGGGGACCATCAACAAGATTCGGATGATCCTGCGCAGCAATGCCTTCTTGTCAGAATCCATAAACGCTACATGATCGCAAAGTGTTCAGAGAAAGGTCTATGCGGAAACTCACTGCTTCTGTTCTTTGGGCTTCGTGTAATTGCTTGCATGTCTAAAGATGAGATACGCCGTGGCACAGCAAGCGACTATCGTTGCTCCTGCTGATAGGGATATCAAGAGGCCGTGGACTCGGATGCCACCAGCGAGTTTCTGTTCGACGACTAGAAGATCGGCTTATCAGACGGGCTCTTTATAGGCGAGATGGTGTTTGAGAACATACTTGGAACATCCAAAGGGTGCTCTTTGCATTTCGCCATCGGATTTCCAGGCCAGGTGAAGAGGGCTGGTCTCGATTCGAACGCCTCCGCGATCCCGGCTTGTGCCTTCGGTTAGATCACAACGGGACTAGACCCCCGGCTCCGTAGGTTTCTGTGCTCTCTACACTCCTAGTTCCCCTTTCCAAGCAGCTTTTACTCGTTTTTGGTTGTCTCGATGGAAGGGTACGGCAAGAAAAATTGTTGAAGATGCAACCAAACTTGTAAAAGCAAGAGACTCGAGAGATATTCAGAACAAATACTTAAAGACAACGATGATGTGAGGCAACACAGTCTGACAATGAGGATATCACTGCTCTGGAATTCCGGCCTTCTTATCGACTGAATAGGAACGTGGTTGACTATTTGGAAAAAAAGATTTGCCCAAGCTTTCTGCTTGCTCTTAGTACTATAGCCAATTATTGCCTTATCTATTCTAACGAGACAAAACCTGACGGATCTGCGGATCTCAGATCATAGTGACCAATAGACTTTTTCGAATATCTGACTGGAGTAGATTGAATAGCCCCTTCCCCCGTTTTGCAGCCTTTGCCTAGACGTACTATCCTATGACTTACTCGTGCAATTGCAACTTTACAGCAGACGCTGGCTTGGAAAATCTCTCTAAGAGCATTAAGGTTTCGTTACAAAACCTAGGCGCGAACGTTCAACGCGGTGACAAGGGGCAGCCCCCCACTAGGCTGAGCCGTCATAGCCACACTTTACACGTCAACGGGAAGAGCCGTTCGTAAATCTAACGGCATAACCCAGTCTCGTCGTGGAGCAAACCGTTTGGTCAATGTTCCCTTGCCCACGATTATAGAGGACCTGATTCGTTCGCTTTTGCCCCGTACGTAGTAAACGCAACGGAACCCGAGTTACGAACACGAGGTACGAGCTACAGTTCGTTAGTTACAGGCTCACGCATTTCAGAGTTTGGGGGTTGGCAGATCTGATTCGTTGGGCCTTGGCGCGTTCGACTGCCGCCTTCCCCTGAATAGGCATTTGCTTCAACCTTACACGATGTGACAGTATGCACCGTACCCGTAGCTGAGACACGGAATTCGGTCTCTAAAGATGATGTCCTAAATAACGTTTACGTTGCAGGTATCCGCTCAAAGCGCAAACTATCCTTGGATCTGCCCAACCTCGCCTGCGCTAGCAATGGCTGATCTCTAATTCTCTATGTCCATCCTACCCCACGATCATTACACAGCCCCATAGGTTTCCGTCGTGGATATAGTCTGTAGTCTAAAACAAAGTCAAGACGGGGTTAAGAAATTTCATATACTCCGAAGCCGTGCGGAGTTTGTTGCACTGCTCTCGAAGCAAGTCAGAATGCCTGACTATCGTGAGCCTCGATGCTGACTGGTCAAGACTTTCGGCTCCCACCGCGTAGCAAAGTAGTGAAACATTGGCTGTATTGCGGACTATGAACCTGTTTGCTCCGTTTATTAGGCGAGCCACTCAATTCGGTGAGAAAGCGTCAAGAAAGAAAGAAAAAGGCTGCGCAAGGCGCACTTGTCAGAGGCGATTGTCCGTGTGTTCATCGGATCGGTTGATATCAGTTCGTCTGAATTCCGTCCCGACGCCATGACAGTCAAACAGACGACAGGCCATTGTACGGACGTCCCTTTTCGCCTTTCGGCTTTGTAAACGGCTTCCGAGTTGCAATTCACGCTGCAGCGAATGAGAAGGACGTGAATTATAGTTTTTCGCATAACGTGAGATGAGAAAGCCTTGGATAGGGTTGAAGATCTCACGAGGAGCTATCCGATGAGACCCATCCCACGACTTGGTATGGAATTCAGAGTCGAGATAATTTCCGTCAACCTCATTGACGGACTCCATTACGACGCTCATGAAGAGGCATTGCGAGCAATCAGATGTTCTTTACATAAGGAAGCGGTTCCTTGAGAGTTTAAACGGAATATTCTTGACGAAACAGTCCTATCTACATCAGATTTCGCCCTACTGGCATTCCAACAACAAAATCAATTCCGAACCCAGTCGCGATGGCTTCATCCTCACCAGTAGCATCCGCCTTCTCCTGGCTGGGCAAAGAGAACAATCCTAACTCGACAATCCAGCCGTACGGCTACATCGCCACCGCCGTCTTGGTCATCATCTTTTCTCTCTTACTCAAAGTCTCCAAGCACGATGACCTCCCCCTCTTCCAGCCAACACCCAAATGGTTTCGCCCAACGTTCCTGGCTCAGATGGAATTCTTCAAAACCGGAAAGGACTTCATTGCAAAAGGCAGAGCCACCTTGCCCGACAAGCCCTACAAGGTCCTTTCGGAGAGTGGAGAAATTCTCGTTCTGCCCCCTCGTTTCGCCAACGTCATTCGCAATGAGGAGGGACTGGACTTTGGGGCTGTGATTATGCGGGTGAGTTGACAAGTTCGAGGGAGCTACGTAGTGTGGTTCCATCATACTTCAACTTGGAGGCCTCTTCGTGTACTGATCTCCTTTGCCAACTTCTAGGACCTCCATGGCAAGATCCCAGGCTTCCAGCCTTTTGGCTTTGTGGATGACGACAAGAAGATTATCCAAGTCGTTGCTCGCAAGCAATTGACAAAGTCACTCAGTAAGCCTAAGACTACTTCGTATTGGGAGTACACCTCAGCGGCTAACTTTGAATTTCCCCCGTTCAGACACCATCACCGAACCACTCTCCCTCGAAACCGCATTCGCAGCAAACCTCATCTTCGGCGAATCTCAAGGTAAACGCCCTCGTCATCTTTCCCCAATCTCCTCGTTATATGGTCCTAAAACCAAAACTAATACCACCACCAACCCCACAGAATGGCACCAACTCCCCCTCAAAGACACAATCCTCGACCTCATAGCCCGCCTCTCCTCCCGCGTCTTCCTCGGCCCAGACCTCTGCCGCAACGAAGACTGGCTCCGCATCACAAAGGACTACACCGTCCTGTCCTTCACCGCAGCCGTCAAACTCCGCGCCGTGCCCCTCCGCCTGCGCCCTTTACTCCACTGGTTCTCCGCAGACTGCAGACGCGCGCGCGAGTCCCTCGCCGAGGCGCAGAAGCTTATCACACCCGTCATTGAGATGCGGCGCGCGGAGAAACGGGCCGCTGCCGTCGCCGGTGCTGCCGGTGCTGCCGGTGCTGCTGGTGCTGCTGGAACCCAAGACTCTGTGGCGCCAGTGTCGAATGATGCTATTGAGTGGGCGGAAGATGAGGCGCAGGGAGGGGCGTATGATGCTGCAACCTTCCAGCTTACGCTTTCGTTTGTGGCTATTCATACTACGACGGACTTGCTTGCGCAGACGCTCATCTACTTGGCCAAGGAGCCGGAGCTCATCGGGCCCCTGAGAGCCGAAATCGTGGAGGTCCTGAAGGCCGAGGGATGGAAAAAGAGCGCGCTGTACAACATGAAGCTTCTAGACAGCGCCATCAAGGAGACACAAAGAATGAAGCCTGTCTCCATGCGTAAGTCCAGCCCCCTCAGCCACTCAATTATCCAAAGAAAGAAACCTCAATCTAACAAAACCCCTCTCCACCGAATAGTCCTCATGCGCCGCCTCGCCACCAAAGACGTCACCCTCCCAGACCACAACATCACAATCCGCCGCGGCCAAACCGTCTCCGTCGACAGCTACAGCTCCATTGACCCAGACGTCTACGAACACCCCGAGACCTACGATATCCACCGCTTCCGCCGTATGCGTGAGCAGCCCGGCGGCGCCAATAAAGCGCAGCTTGTGACGACGAGCCCTGAGCACCTGGGTTTCGGCCACGGACAGCACGCATGCCCCGGCCGGTTCTTCGCTTCGAATGAGGTCAAGGTCGCGCTGTGCCACTTGCTGTTGAAGTATGATTGGAAGCTGGCGCCGGGGTCGCCTTCGGATCCCGTTATTGTGGGTGCGTCTATGAATGTTAACCCAAAGGCTGTGGTTATGGTCAAGAGGAGGGTGGAGGAGTTTGATATTGATGATCTTGGGTTTGGGGACTTGGATTCTTGAGTCTTTACGTGTTGGCTGGTTTGGTTGGTGAAGAGTGTGGTTCTTTGAGCACTCGAGCATTGCCACTTTACATTTTCCTTTGTCTTTTGGAACCAATTGCTGCATTATCTAGGGAAATAAGATTCATCCACGCAAAAATCAACAAGCTAGACTTGCATTTCTACCTGCCTGACCCCTGTATATGGACTTAGATCTAGTGGTAATCACGATGACTGGAACCTCAGTCAGAGAGCTTGAAAAACGCCCTGTAATGCGTTGTATAACCCCATCTATCCGCCGAGCCCATTATGTATAAACCACGGTTCGATGTTCGAGAATCTGATAGAGAAGTGGCGTGACCGGGCTCTCGAATTTTACCAATGAACTTGCCCTGTTTCTAGACCCAGAACGCTCAGTACCAATAAGACTCAAACGAACGATCTGAAGTTCATTCAGTTTATATGGAGTTACTATTCTATGACCTGGACCCTCAACACAGATTGTCACAGAAGAGCTTCATCAGTTGCCGAGCCGGTATCTTCATTCTCGCAACTGTCGTCGTGTATACGGCATCAGAAAACACCGCCCGACGTGACGGCGTGGAAAACTTCCCGGCCACTTATCACGGCCCGAACCTACGCTCTTCGACGTGATTCAATACACCAGGTATCTTGCACTCCCTGAACACGAAACAGATCTTCATTCTCTGAAGAGGCCACAGAAAGCAGAGCACTTCATGGAGTCGCGGCGAGTTTTGCGAAACTCCATGGTAGAGGTAAGATGGGGGAAAAGGTCCGGTCCGTGGGGTATGTACATGTGGCCATGGGCCCTCAGCAAACACCGTTGACTGTCTGCCTCATGGCACCGCAGTTGAGCTCTTCCCGCAACCGCCTCCCGGAGGCCTTTATAAAGTGCCGCCTTGAAGGCATTACACATTCCGCAAAGCAGGAATGCGCCTCTCTTGAAGGGGTTCTCCAGGCGCAGACGAACCAATTCATCGTTTCCTTTCGTTTGTGGGCATAACGATCACCATGAGCCATGATGAAATGAAACTTCATGTTTGTCGGTTTCTACACACAGCAACAAACGAACCGCCGTCTAAGCCACGAATCTTCTCTCGAGTATTCTCATCTGAATACTCTCAAGAAAAGCTCTTAAGACAAGAGACGGCGGAATTCATGGGGTAAGGCTTGATGCTGACTAGATATCTAGAAATAACGTCCACTCTCAGTATTCTCCGCGGGTTGTGGACTTCCACAAGAACTTCCATTCGCCAAAGCTGGCTACAAGGACAGAACCCACAGCTTGATGTGCTCGAAAAGATAATTATAGCCTCTCTGTTGGCGATTAGATGCTACTTATACATCCATGGGCAGAGGGTCGAGAGAACATCAATTCCACCAACCTGTGCGTGGGAGATTCATCTTACAGAGGGGGGGGCGACGGGAAGTACACACCCACAACGGGGGAGTACAGCCCGTACTTGCTCAACCAAGAAGCGCGATTGTTTTTTAAAGACCTGCGCGCAAGACAGTGACACCGCCATGCGAGATGGAGGGACAACCCAGCCAGCCATACAGAGTGCGCACTCTGCTCGGGGTCCCTCTTCGGCTGACTTGCTCTCAAAGCCTTCGTGCTTGAAACTGGATACGTGGATCAAAAGGCCACATCCAGAATACCTCACTTTATCCAAAGGACGAGAGAAGTTTGCAAGTTGCAGCCAGGGCCCCTTATCAATTCTTTCATCGTCTTCAATATCACGACGATGCTATCGATGGGCTAAAGACTCCTACACATCTATAATGGCATACTAAGACGTGCTCGGGTTGAATAGTGTAGTCACGCCGACAAGAACATCTAGGTATTGAGTATCTGTAACAGAAAGGCAAGTAAGTAGTCTGATCGCTCCGATTGAGCCAGGCGGCAACTATTGAAGCGCAGCCAGAACAGACATAGCATATGCTGTTTAAAGTCACATATCTTCTCATAATCATACATTGCGTGCTTGTCCACGTTCACTCTGTCACTCAACAACACCGAGGTCCAACGGCCTCTTCCACGGCCCGAAAGTGCGCTCGTCGCAAGAGAAATAGGCTTATGAGTGTTTCGCCCACCCAAGTGCTCCCCCCCTGCGAAGCCATTACCGGATTCAGCAAATCACTTGCGACTTTTGGGGAAACACGTGTTTGTGGCTGACCAACTGACACTTGAGAGTCAATCGACGTTCACCTACATCGGACCAACAAGATCACCTCGTCCAACGATTGAGCAACCCACGCTTAGACTGTAAAGTCTGTGTGGTCAATGTGGGAGCCAAAGGGATGGTATGTCCGTGGGAGCAAACCATGGCATTGCACATCGTGTGTTTGGACGAGACGGAAATGGTCGCTTCCAGATCACGAGATTAGACTTGTTGGGCCGATTTACGACAACGTTTTGGGTGGAGGGGTCGTCGACGTAGATCGCCCCCGCATGTTGCCTCTTTCGGCTGACCGAGTCGGCTCCGACCGAGCAGTTTGCAGAAGTTCCAGTACGGATATCCGTCCCGTTCAGCCCTCGAGATCCGAGAATCAGCCGCAAGCTCACTAGGTAGTTGAGTTGTGCCTGTGACAGGGATAACATGTCTGTGAAGCTTCTGGAAAATTAGTGTAGTGTATGGATAATGCAGTCGCCGGTCACCATGAGAGCAGACTGCATAGTAAGGACAAGAGAATAGAGACCCATTGGAGGAAACTCTCTCTGATTTTTGGCTGTCAGCATTTGGCACAATTCTCTGGGTTACTCTTTCGGCGTGCAGTCAGTCGTCGGGGAATATGGCGGTCTGTGACGACTGACGAGTTCGAACGATCATTCCTCTCGCAGGGGAGCCAGTCTGAAGTCGGATAGAAACGCCACGCTGTCGCTCGGATGCTGCCACTAGCGAGCGAATTGACGTCGTTCGTTCGGGGGTGTGGAGAAGCCTGGGAGGAGAGGAACGAAGAAAGCGAAGAAGAAGTGAGGACGAAGCAGCGCCGCCGCCACATAAGCTTCGAGCCAGGCGTGGGTGCTGCATGCTGGACCGAGTGTTGGGTGGTTGAGTTGGCTTTCGCGTTCATGTTTCGTGTCGCGGCACTTGAGGCCGAGCCGATCAGGCTGATGTGGGCGTTGCTTTAAGGCGAGGTAGGCCATGTGCTTGCGTGCGATATGCGTGGTGCGTCACGCGAAAGTCCTCGGCCAGGCTCTAGCTGACAGGAGACGGACGGACTTTTTATCAATGTGTAATTAGCGGGTCTTGGCTAGTCTTCACGACGTGAGGTGTCTGGGGTTGAGCTGTGCATTTCTCATCAGCCTTGAAAAGTCGGGGGCCAGGTGCCTGGTCGCCAGGGTAGCGATACCGGTAGTGATAATGCGGTGATGCCTCCTGTGTCTCTCTTTTGAGTCTCTTCTGGCAGTGCGAAAGAGGATACCGAGAGATTAAGGTATACGGAGTAGAGACATATGATACGGAGTACATCGAGTACCTTCGCCGAGTCTTCGGCCGATTGCCGCCGAGACTCGAGCGGCAGCTGCACCGTGCCACCGTCAGGTAGGACGGGGGACGTCCACCATGTGTGTGACTTGCGGCGGGAGGGCGCGCGGAAGAGGCGTGGCGGCGAGACACTAATTTAGCAAAGGAAAGTCTCCGACAGGGTGAGCCGCGAGGGTGCGTTTGTCGTGGAACAGTGACTTGCTGGGCTTGAATTACTCGCAACAATTTTAGCTCGCGCCTCAATGGCCTATGGTAGAATGTATTCGACCTGTCATGAGTGTGTCCCTTGGGCCCTCGATTTTTTTTTTTTTTTTTTTGCTTTTTGATTGCAGTTGTCATGGACTGGAGTCTGCAAGTGACTCATTGTGAGGACGGGCTTGGCGAAGCGGAATTGTCCAGGGTTGCACCGATTGCTTGATCAGCCGGAGGCAGGGAGATAAAACGAGTGGGAGAAGTCCGTAGGACACAATAGGTCGGAGGAGGAAACAGGGCCGTAAGATTGAAATCTCGTCAATGATCAGCGTCAACGTTGATGGAGACCCGGAGCTGATTCAACGTCCAAGAAGACCTCCGTTGCGGCGGACGAAGGCGGCGGTGGAATGCTGGGACCAGGGGGGGGAGGCCGCGGGGCCCGTTCCACATTGAATTGACGACTTTTTTTCTTGTCTCCAGGATTCGAGCTGCGGTGCCCAAAACTTCAGCTCTGGTCGTTGCGATCGGAGGGCAAGACTAATCGACTGGAAAGGCTTAGGTAAGGAGTCAGCAAGAATCCACAATGGGAGCGCAGATGCCAGTCGTAATCCGCACGCAATTTGGCACATGGAGTGATGGAGTCCCTGCCCGGGTGTAAGACAGTGGGTGGGCGGGATATCCGTACGAATACCTGCGTGTAGTACGGAGTAGGGGAGGGTCCTTGATCCTTTGTCGCAAAAGGTCTGTTAGATCTGCGGGCCAGATGCGAGATGGAGATGAATAATGGTTCAGATATGCTTGTTTGACTGGCGGAAGCAAGGCGGTAAGTCCGTGGTGGAAAACCCGGTGAAAAGATCGGACTGGAAGCTTTTGGATAGGTTGCTGATGTCTGATACGATCTGAAGACGAGAGAACAAGTGGACGATGATTGAAATCAAAGCATATGAATAATCCTAAGCTGGCCGTGATTGAGACGTGTTGGGATGGTCGTGGTTGGCAAATTGCAACCTCCATTGCAGGACACGGTCGGTTCCTAGCAAGCCTGGTTGGAGACGAGAAATGTATATTCGGGAAGAGAGACCCTCCAAACCTGGACTGCTCTTACCCTCTGGGTCTAGTGATTGGCTCGCCTTTGAAGGAAGGAAAGCTGATTAATCAGAGCTAATCCAAAACAAGACATTGCAGCCCTTCTTGCCCTTTTTCCCCACCTTTTGCCGGATGACTCGAAACCGATTGCCAGGCCCCACTCTCCTGACAAGAGCGGATTTCAGATGTTTTGAGTGGCCAATGAGATGTCCCTCGCCAGATGGGCAAGCACCAACCAGACTGCGAGGATCCAATGTGGAAGGAACGTAAGAAAAAAAAAAAAAAAAAAGAAGGAACAAAGAGTCCAAGGAACGAACCCCGGGATCAGGGAAAGCGGGGGCCCACCTCACCCCTTGCCCTGGTATTGCCGCCTGTTTACGCCGGCCGCAGACAACGCAACGTGCAGCTGACAGGCGCGAAGTTGCTGCCGCCGGTGCTTGCAGCTCTGTTGCTATCTTCAAGTGGGGCCGCTTTCCCTCGATGTGGTGTCTCCGTTTTCTGCCGTGTCCATTGCGGCATTGCATTGCCATCGCAACCTGTAACATTTTTTGGTTGTTGTTTGCTTCCACTTGTTTCCTTGGTGTCGTTGGCGTGCCGTGTTGCTGCGCATTTCGCTCTCGGAGTTTTGTAGCGCCAAATTTGTGCGACGTGTCTGACCTCTATCATCGACGACCATCGGGCTGGATACCTGCGTTTCAACACTGCTGGTATCCACTTTGATCCCTTTTTGCCTCTTTTTTTTTTACGGAGTACCTCATTCATTTTCTTTTCTTAATGCATCAAGGGTCAGCACACATGCATCCGAGCCCCATGAAGATGATAGATCTGCTTGGACACCTCCATGACGGGCAGGTACGGAGTAATTACTTGGTCTTCAGATTGGATTTGTTTAGTAAGGATACAGATAGAGATCTTTGCAAGTCCACGTCAATGTGGTCAACAGCTCTCAACGAATTGGATGCCGCTAACGTCTGTGTTGCTCAGTTTTGCTGTTGCTGGTAATCACCCCTCCACCCCATACTCAGGTAGTCTGACCACAGAGGACCAAAGAGGGTGTTCGAGTCCTTCGCCGGGTAGTAGATCTCAAAGTTGCATTACACATTGTCACACACACACACACACACACTCATACGCCATAAGGTAACCAGGTACCGACGAAAAGCGTCCTTTTTTCCGATGACGCGTGCCTCTGCACACGGACACTCATCATCCCATCTCATCCCACCGCTGACCGCCTCTTCTTCGTCCAAGATCGGGGACACCTGTCTACTGAACGGATACCTACCAACACTCTCTAGGTATGTATGCCTTACGCCTTGATGCAAACCCCGCGGCTGGTGAAAAAAGCTTACTATAGTAGAGGCCGGTGCAACCATTGCCGTCTCTGACTCCTCCCCGACCGCAAGGAACCAAGGAACCCAACGTTTGGTCTGTGACCTGGGAGGTATCATGGTGGCTCAAGATGGCTCATCATGTATCCGTCAAGACTAAGGAATAATTACCTTACCTCAGTCCTGTGCAGCACGCCAAGGGACAGGATGATCCACACAGCCGTACCCCCACCTCGTCGCCGTCTTCCACCTGCACCCCGGTAGGTAGGTACTTCGTACGCCTGTAGTGTCTGGATCTCCCCGACAATTTAACAGCTGCGGGCCCTCCCACCCGCCTCCACCACGCTGCATCATCCGTACCTTCGCAGCACTGTTAGTCGCATCTGCACGCCTTTTTTTTTTTCCCTGGAGCCAAGCACGCACTTTCCAACAAAGTCCCAGACTCTCACTCGTGCCGGTACTTTCCCTACCTACCACGTACTTGCTTATTGCCTGGTAGGTAGACGTAAATGCGGTACACGGTACCTACATATCCCACTAGGTGCCGCCCAAAACATGACCAATTCCCATGTACTCGCCCAGTAATTGCTCGCCTGTTTCCTAACAGTAGCCTGTCGGTAAGTACCTGGGACTACACAGTAGGTAAAAGGCAAGGTAGTATCCCCCAGTCAGGTTGCCTCGCCTTCGCCCTGCGTGCAACAATACCTCCCTCCTGAATGCCCAACATACATCGTGCTGCACCTCCACCAACGGACATACAGTAGTCTGGGTATCTGGGCTACCAGCCGGGCTTAAGACTTCCTAGATCCGGGAACCGATTCTTGTTGAAATTGTCACTCACCTTGACGCATCCTTGATTGGTAATGTCCTCTGTTTGGCTCCCGAAGTCGATCCGATAGACTGCCTGGGCGCCCTTAGTATCCTGGCACTCCTAGGTAGGGACCCTCTTTATTTTTTCTCCCATGCTACGGAT